CTGAAAAGTGGAAACAACAAATATAAATTAACTGAAGAATGGATAAACAAAGGATACTCATATAATGGAACATTCTCTGGCTATAAAAAGGAATGAAGTACTGAAACAAACCACATGGAAAAACCTTGAAAACATGCTAAGTGGAAAGAAGTCACTCACTAAAGTCCATATATAATTCCAATTGTATGAAATATTCAGAATAGGCACATCTGTACAGGGAGAAAGTAGATTAGTGACTGTTTAGGATTGGGAGTTTGGGGCAGGTAAAAATGGAGAATATAGAGCTGATAGCTAAAGCATACAGGATTTCTTTTTGAAGTAATGAGACTATCTCGAGTGTGATGGTTGCACATAACTATGAATATTCTAAAAACCACTGATGCATGATTGTGCAGTATGTAAATTATAAGACAATAAAGTTGCTATTAAAGAAAAAAAAAAAAGAGCGGAGAGCCATGTGCCTGCCTGCAATCCCAGCAGGAGGAGCACAAGTTCAACTAAACAACTAAGCAAGAACCCTGTCTCAAAATAAAAACTAAAATGAAGTAGTGTCTGGGATTAGGTTGTTGGCAATTGAATCAAAGACCTTGTGCATGCTAAGTAAGCGCTCTACCACTGAGCTACATTCCCAGCCCAAGGATTGTACTCTATTTGACAAAGTTATTTCCCATGGGTTATGGGTTAAAAATTCTTACACTGCCATACATGTATACTGGTGAAGCCAGATTTAAAATTAGGTAGTCAGTGTAGTTAGGTAAATCGGGTCTAACATTCGAGTAAGATTTAAAATGGAGGCCATGCAGGCCATGCAGGCCATGCTGAGAATGAATTCTGGGAAACTCTTGAAATGTTAAGGAAGTCCCAAGAAAAGCCCTAGGCCCAAAGTCCATCCCAAAGAAATGTTAATAAACAGCCCCAGCAGATTTAAAGATAGCCCATCCCAAAGAAGTGTTAATGAAGTCCTTCCCGCCCAGATTACTACTTTGGCCCACTTGTGTCCCAACCCTTCCCGCCTTCCCACCTACATTCCATCACCAAAAACTATAAAATGGAGAGACAACCGCACTTCCACTGATTCCATCTCTTGGGTCCCCTTCTTCCTCCGGGAGAAGTCTTTCTGCTGTCCTTTAATAAACTTCTAATTTCTACTCTGACCTTGCCTCAGCGTGCTTCTCTGGTGCTATTCTTCAACATTGGGGAAGCAAGGACTCATCGCCAGTCCACAGCGGTAACACTGGGATTAAGTAAATGGATGGTGAACTGTTAGAGCCAGGTATCTCATTATTCTAAAGGGAATTAGTAGACAAGCAAGGAGGTTTCAGTGTTCCAAGAGGCAATGGATTTGAGTTGAAAACATCACTATGAATTCATATTTATTTTTAAATAGTTACATATGGAAGTATTTATAAATGTGCATATATACCAAGGTTATCATACACACACATATTTCATTACTCTGAGATGACCTGGAAATCATGAGGTCCCAGAGGACACTTAGCACCCATATCTTGTTTTATAATACCATCATCTAATAAAAGCAATCTGGGCTCCTTAGAGTAATGGCTGATTCTAGGACTGAAGCAGGAAATATACAAAATGAGTTTGGAGAATGAAGTAGTGTCGAAAGTAAGAAAGTGCTACAGAGCTGGAGTTGTGTAGCTCAATGGTAAAGCATTTGCCTATCACGTGTGAGGCACCTGGTTCGATCCCCAGCACCACATAAAACAACAAATAAATAAAATAAAGATATTGTGTCCATCTAAAACTAAAAATAAAAAAAAGTGAAAGTACTCCAAACAACAACAATTAATAGCACCTACAGAGATGGGGTTATGTCAAAGAGACAAAGGAGCCTATTGAAAGAGCTCTCAATGGCCATAGCTGGGAATAGTTTGAACAAGAAAATTAATACATATTGCATTATAACCCAATATAACCATTAGACCCGAGAAACATGTTTGAGCAAATACGTGTATTTTGTCAATTAAAAAATTTTAAGAACAGTCTTTAGGGGAAGACATTTAGAATATTTGGGGAAGAACAGATAAATGTACCTTACAGAAAAACTACAAATAATTTATATAGATACTCTGCCCTCAAGAAGGAGAACATGAATCCCCATTCCTTCCTTAACTGTGGTTGTTCACACACTTACATAGAATGCAAATTCCTTCCAGAGAGTACTGGGGATGGGAGGCAGTAACTTTACAGTAAAGCAGTCTGACAAACACTACCTCTGCTAGGTGAGCAAGGTCAATATTTTCAGTAATAAATCTTGTTGAGAATATGTACCCTTGATATGAAATGATACATAATAATTTACATCTGTGATTTTCCTCCCCAAAACCCGTAACACCGATCCACTCATAAGAAAAACTCAGCAAAACCCAATAGAGGGCCAGGCATGGTGGAGACTTAGGTGGTTGAGGTAGCAGGATCACAAGTTTGAGGTCAGCCTCAGTGATTTGGTATGGCCCTGAGCAACTAAGCAAGATCCTATCTCTACCCCGCCTTTCCTGTCCTTATTTTGTACTGGAGATTTATCCCCCAGGGGCACTTTACCACTGAGTTGAATCTCCAGCCCTTTTTCTTTTCTTTCTTTCTTTTTTTTTTTTTTTTTTAATTTTGAGACAGGTTTTTCGCTGGGTTGCCTAGAGTCTCACTAAGTTCCTGAGGCTGGCCTCCAACTTGCCATCCCCCTGCCTCAGTCTCCCAAGGCACTGGGATTATAGGCATGCGCTACTGCCTGTGGCATGAGAACTTGTTTCATAACAAAAAATAAAAAGAGCTGGGGATATAGCTTAATGATAAGGCACCCTGAATTCCATCGCTAGTACCCAAAACAACAATAAAAAGAAACAAAAACCACCACCACCATCGCCACCACAACAAAAATGATAGAAAGTATAAGTTAAAAAAAAAAGCATTGTAACAAAAGTAAAGCCTTCAAAATATATTGAATTCTTTTCAACCTAGAATTCAATATCCAATCATATAAAACCTAAAATCTGATTTCTGAGGAATATCTAATCAAGCATGATGATATAACAAAGACATGTGAGAATATATTTTTAGACATGCAAGGGCTGAAAAAAGTTGCCTCATATTTACCCTTTCATAGGATGCTGTTGGAGAATTAACCATAATCCAGGAAAATAGAACCCAACAGAGACAAATGTGAAAGAGAGATCCAGACCAGAGTTGGATAAAGGACCATAGGAGGGAATTCTCTGTATTAGTTTTCTCTGACTGCCATAACAAAGTAGCACGAACTAGGTAGCTTAAAACAACAGCGATTTATTCCCTCAGTCCTAGAAGCTAGAAGTTGAAATCAAAGTGTGCATGGGGTGCACACCTGTAATTTCATTTGAGGCAGCTGAAGCAGGAGGGTCTCAAGTTTGAGGCCAGCCTCAGCAACTTAGAAAGACTCTGTCTCAAAATAAAAAGGGCTAGGGATGTAACTTAGTGGTAAAGCACCCTAGGTTCAATCCCCAGTATTAAAAAATTAAAGATTAAAAAAAAAAAAAAAACATCAGGTGTAATTGACTCATGTAAACTGCACATGTTCAGAGCACACAATTTATGTGTGTATATGGTATTGGGGATTGAACTCAAGGCCTCATGCAAGAGCATACAATTAAGTTTGGACATATGTATGTACTCATGAAACCCTCATTACAATCAAGATAATGAACATACCCATCATGTGCAAGTTTCCTAGTATCCCTCCATAATCGCTCCCAACTGCTCCTCCTTGCCCCTTCCCAGCAACCTCTAATCCAATATAGTAATATTTTTTCCATTTCACACATGAGAAAACTGAAATGCATGGTGGCTTACTAAACTGCCCAAAGTCATACAGCTTAGTCAGTGGTAGCACTTGGGGTTTTAGTTCAAGTTGAAATATTGGACCTAAAATCCCATCTTGAAAAAGTCTCTTGTCTTCAAAATGCACCATCAGCATATCCATCCCCTGGGCATACAGTATTTTCTTAAAGGCCTATGAAAATGTTTGAGACCTATAGAAAAAGTTTCCAAAACATGGAAACCTACCAACCAACCAAACAAGCTGCTGAAATTAAAAAGCATTCATTTGAATGATTACAAAACTTAATGTTATGCCAACAAGTCACCTTTAACTCATTTCTTTGGTATTCAGAGTTCTAGATTCAGGGGCTGGGGCTGTGGCTCTTAAGCTCAAAGTGTATTTAGCACATACCAACCCTGGGTTCCACCCACAGCACCAAAAGAAAAAATAACTTAAGTTCTAAAGCCAGAGGGTTTAGGTTAGAATGCCATTTTGCCACTTATTATCTATTGACTGGGGACAAGTAACTTCAGCCCCAGGGTTACTCCTCTGTAAAGCAGGACAGTAATATTCACCTCATGGGGTTGGGAGAATTGAACACGTTAATATTTGTGAAGCATTTAAAATAATTCTCACACAGAATAAGTGTTCAATAAATATTAACTATAAAAGCCAGGCTTGGTGAGACACACTTGAATCCCAGATTCTCCAGAGGCTGAGGCAGGAGGAGTCCAAGTTTGAGGTCAGCAATACAGCTCAGTGGTAGAGCACTTGCTTAGCATGCCAGAGGCGCTGGGTTTGGTGCCCAGCACCACAATCAATAATCAATCAACTCATAAAAATAAAGCAAAATAAAAACTGATTGGCAGCGCACGCCTGTAATCCTAGCAGCTGAGGAGGCTGAGGCAGGAGGATCCTGAGTTCCAGGCCAGTCTCAGCAATTTAGGGAGGGCTTCAGCAACTTAGGGAGACATGGTCCCAAAATAAAAATGACTGGGGCTGTGGCTCAGTGGTTAAGCGCCCCTGGGTTCAATCCCCATTACAAAAATAAAAAAATAAAAAATAAAAAAAAAAAGGGAGAGAGAGAAGAAGAAGAAGAAAGTAAAAGCTTTTCGGTGAGGGGGAACTCAGGAAGCTTGCTGGGTCCTTCCAGGAAAAAACGCCTTCTTTTTCGTGCCAGCTTCCTGGCTGCGGGGCCAGGGAAGCCAGCGGAACGCAGGTGTGCGAGGGCGGGGAGCCGGTCGAGCCTGGCCATCGAGGACTGTACGGCCGCGGGGGATCGGTTTGGCGGCGACACTGAACTGCTCGGAGGCCGCCGCAATGCTCCCGTCTTTGCAGGAATCGCTGGATGGGGATGAAAAGGAACTAGAGAGCAGCGAGGAGGGCGGCCCTGCAGAGGAGCGGAAACTCGAGCAGCCGCCCAGCAGCCACTACTGTCTCTACAGCTACCGCGGAAGCAGGTGCCGGCGCCTGGCCTGGCCTGCCCGGCCGCCCCTGCGGTCCCCCTAATCCCCGGGCCCGATGCCCGGCTTTACACCCCTTCCCCGGCCTGGCGGCCTGGCAGCTCCCAAACGCCATCTTCTCCTCTCCCAGCCACGGTCTCTGTCCCGAAGGGCCCTCCAGCTCTCACTCCGTTCTTCTTGGCTACTAGCCTGGACTTCTCTGCCAGGCCTTCCCTAGCCCCTGCTCTCCTACTGACCCTAGGTCATCTCAGCCCGGCTTCTCGCCCCGGCCGTTTATTTAGGACAGTTCCTGCATGCTCAGTAATTTCAATCCCCAACCCTGTCCTCTGGTCACCATTTCCCCACTTTCCCCCGTTTTTGTCACACCCCCCCACCCCGTTTTCTTTGTCCTTGCTGCGTCTTTTCTGTCCTCCTGGCTGATGTTCCAGGGGCTCTCTTGGCCCTGCTAATTCTGGTGGTGGTTGTTTTAAAGAGTCGCTTCTTTAATCTATTAGGCCTCTCCTCCACCCCTTAGGTAGCCTGGCGAGAGAAAGGCGCTTGTCAGCTCTGTGTTATGGGTTTTCCCTGTCTTGCAGCAACGCAATAGAGGACCCATGCACTTTAATCTTGCAGTTTTTTACGTGACTCCTTGCACTACCCTTCTTGCAAGGACTCCATCTGATTTGGAGCCCATAATTGATAGCAAAATTGTTGCTTTTTTGGCTTGCAGATTGGCACAGCAACGTGGGGACAGTGATGATGGAAGCCCAAGTGGCACAAATTTGGAAACTCCCTCTGGTGATGATTTCAGGTAAAACCAACTTACCCACACCGTAATGTGTTTCATCTTCTGTGTATCTCTGGCCTGTAGATGTCAGTAGGTACACTATTTCCACTGAATCTCCTCTGAGTCAAACCATCAATTCTTCCTATTCTTTAGGAACCTCTCTCTCATTGGGGCATTCACTGGAGGCTGGGGCAAATCCAAATACTAATACTCTGTGATTAACCAAAAAGAATTATTCTGTTCTTTGGTTAGAACTCCAGTAAAATTTTAAATATCAGGTTGAGATCAAGATTTGAATTTAAGGAGCTGTAGTTGTAGCTCAGTGGTAGAGCACTTGCCTAGCATGTGTGAGGCACTGGGTTCCATCCTCGGCATCACATAAAAATAAATAAATAAAATAAAGGTATTAAAAAATACAATAACATTATGACAGAAAATTTTTTAAAGATTTGAATTTAAACCCTCTCCTCCTCCCTTTGAATATTCTTTTTTTTTTTTTACTATTTTTTTACTTGTCAGTGTACCTTTATTTTATTTATTTATGTGTGGTGCTGTGAATTGAACCCAGTGCCTCACACACACCTCACAAGCACTCTACCACTGAGCCACAACCCCATCCCTGGATATTCTTTAGTAGCTCCTTTACTAGAATGGAAATTCCAGGACATTAGGGATTATCTCATTTTTGTCTCCCTGTCTTGTCCCTTGAGTAGTGCCTGGCACAGGATAGATGTTTAATACATTGTTATTAAGTGCATGAATGAATGCACCTTTTTTAATAAAGCACATGTAAAATTAAAGATTTATTAATAAATTTTATATCTGTAAATGTATGAGAAACTATGATGTAATAGTCATAATCATATTTAACCATTTTCCTTTTTTAAAAATATATTTATTTATTTTACAGTAGAATTTTTTTTTTTGTTTTTTTTTTTTTGGTTCTGGGGATTGAACTCGGGGGTACTCAAAACTTAAAAAAACTGCTTAAAACTTAAAACTGCTGAGCCACCTCCCCAGCTTAATTTTGTATTTTATTTAGACACAGGGCATCACTGAGTTGTTTAATGCCTCACTTTTGCTGAGGCTGGCTTTGAACTCGTGATTCACCTGTCTCAGCCTCACAAGCTGCTGGGATTACAGGTGTGTACCACTGCACCCAGTAGTAGAATATATTTTGACATGTTGTACGTGAATGAATTCACATTGCAGTACAAAAATATTGAAAAATGGATGATTTAAGGAATTTTTCAGGTGTCATAATAGTATATACGTAGATATTTTTAAAGTCCAGGGGCTGGGCATGTACTCGGTGGTAGAGCACTTGCCTAGCACTCATGAGGCCCTGGGTTTGCTCCCCTACACCACAAGCAAAACAATCTTCATCTTTTAGGGCTGGGGTTGTGGCTCAGTGGTAGAGTGCTTGCTTCGCATTGAGGCACTGAGTTCGATCCTCAGCACCACATAAATGTAAAACAAAGATATTGTGTCCACTTAAAACTAAAAAATAAATGTTTAAAAAAATCTTCATCTTTTAGAAATACATAGTGAGAAATTAATGCATGAAATCATTTCTGGGACATTGCTGCAAAATTTTCTGGGATGGGGGGAATAATATGTGTTTAAAGATGAAATAAGATGACCATGAGCTGATAACTGTTGAAACTGGATCATGGGAACATGAGAACTTACTGTTCTCTCTACTTTTTTTTATTTAAGTTTTTTTAAAAATATTTATTTATTTTTTAGAAGTAGTTGGACACAATACCTTTATTTTGTTTATTTATTTTTATGTGGTGCTGAGGATCGAACCCAGGGCCTCGCATATGCCAGACCATCGCTCATTGAAGGAGAATGTGCACAGTACTCAATTTTTAAAATACTTCTTTAGTTGTAGATGGACACAATACCTTGATTTCATTTATTTATTTTTATGTGGTGCTGAGGATTGAACCCAATGCCTCACAGGTGCTAGGCAAGCGTTCTGCCATTGAGCTACAAACCCAACCTAGTACTCAATTTTTATATATCAATTATACCTCAATAACGTTGAAAGGAAGAAAAAGAAGAATGTGTGCAGGGATGTGATTATAATGACTGACCAGCAAACTTAAGCTGAGTAAGGAGAAAGTAAGTGAGGAGAGGAGAAACTTGAGGGACTGTCAAAAGAGAATCAGTGGTATGAGAGAGCGCTTGCCTTATACATGTGAGGCGCTGAGTTCGATCCTCAGCACCACATAAAAATAAAGATTAAAAAAAAATGAAAATGTGTAAATCCTTCAAAAAATAAAAAGAGAATCAGTGGGCTCAAGATTCCAGTGGAAGCCAGGTCCAGTGGTACACGCCTGTAATCCCAGCGGCTCAGGAGGCTGAGGCAGGAAGATCACAAATTCAAAGCCAGCCTCAGCAACAGCGAGGCCCTGAGCAACTCAATGAGACCCTGTCTCTAAATAAAATACAAAATAGGGCTGGGGATGTAGCTCAGTGTTTGAGTGCCCCTGAGATCTATCTGGTGACCCCTCCCCTCAAAAAAACAGATTCCAGTGGAGTGTCAGGAGTGGTGGAGCATACCTGTAATTCCAGTTACTCAGGAGGCTGAGACAGGAGGATCACAAGTTCCAGGCCAGCCTCAGCAACTTAGTGAGACCCTTTCTCAAAGTAAAAAAAAATTAAAAAGGGCTGGGGATGTATAGTCCAGTGGCAAGTGCCCCTAGTTAAGTCCCTAGTACCGAAAAAAAAAAAAAAAAGATTCCAGCAGAGTGCCAGTACTGCAGAATTGAATGAGCTGGAGAGAGTAATATTTTAAACTGTTTGATAATAAGTCACACTTGGTGACATACATTCCTAGAGGTCTCATTGTTTTTGTTCAGCTTTCAGTCACTGACAAAATAGCTGAAATAATCAACTAAAGGACGAAAGGTTCATTTTGGCTCATGATCTCAGAGGTTTCAGCCCATTGTCTTTGAGTTTCTGGCACTACATCATGGCAGGAGCACATGGTAGAGAGGCCTGTTCACCTAGTGGCTGCTAGAAAGCAAGAGGCTAAAGGGGAGGAGGCCAGGATCCTAATATCCCCATCATGGGCATGCCCCCAGGGAATGCCCCCAATAACCTAATTTTCTCCAACAAGCCCCACCTCTTAAAGGTTCCACTATCTTCCAGTAGCACCAAACTGTTAGCATATGGGCCTTTGGGGCACATTCTAAATCCAGACTATAGCAGTAGCCAGTGGATTAGGTAGATAACCTTCTTAGGTCCTTAAGGGAGACCCTGGCTTTGGTATCATACTTTCTGACTCACAAGTGTGAATGCCCTAGTCCCCTGGTAAGGAATGTGTGTCTTTCATTTGTTAAGCCTCTCCTTGGTGGATACTAATTTACCATCTGAAGTGGAGCCAGAGCTGCGTAGTTTCATTGCTAAGCGTCTTTCGAAAGGAGCCATCTTTGAAGGGCTGGGTAATGTTGCATCTGTAGAGCTGAGGTAAGTATAAAATGTGCTGTGTCCTGAGTTTTTGTTTCCGAGCTAAATATGAGAAGTAATGAGAAACTCTAAAATTTCTCCTACTAGAACTGCCCGGTGTATTGTTGTTTTCCGAGAGCCCACATGCTGGGATTCACATGTAAACATTTATGGAATGGGGTTAATTGAACGTGGAGACACTGGCACCTACATGTACTTTTTGTACTTTGAAGAGTTAATTACTAAAACCAAAATTGTATATTTTACAGTTATAAAGTGTTTTCCCAAACTTTGGAACAATTCTCCTTACAAAGAGGAGAAAATAAACTCAGAAAAGTTAAATGGGATGCCTGAGGTTACAGAACTGTTACCTTGATGGAGTTCACATTTAAACATAGGCATTCTCAGTCCAATTCCAGTTGTCTTTCCATTACACTTCTTGATTATGGTTTGCTTTAGATCATGAAGTTGACACACAAGAGTTTGAAGCCATGGCCCAAGCATGAGGCTATGGGGTAAACCTGGAACATGTGCCTGGAGCTTAGTGATTTGTGAAGGTTTGAGGAAGAAGAGGAATATGCTTATTTTTTTTTTGCTTTTTTTTTTTTTTTTAATTTATTCTTTTTAGACGTACATGACTGTAAAGTGTATTTTGACATACATACTTGGAGTATCGCTTCCCATTCTTGTGGTTGTACATGATGTGGAATTACACTGGTATTCATATATGAACACAGGAAAGTTATGTCCAATTCATTTTACTGTCTTTCTTATTCCTGTCCCCCTCCCTTCCCTTCATTCCCCTTGGTCTAATCCAAAGTACTTCTATTCTTCCCTTGCCCTCTTGCCCCCATTGTGTGTTAGAATCCACATATCAGAGAGTACATTCAGCCTTTCGTTTTTTGAGATTGGCTTATTTCACTTAGCACAATAGTCTCCAGTTCCATCCATTTACCAGCAAATGCCATAATTTCAAGGAATATGTTTATATTCATGTAAATATGTGTATACCTTGAACAAGAGTGAAATTTGCACACAACCCAGGAGAATTCAAAGAAAAGTTTGTGTTAGGGACTGCTTTCACCAAAGCCCATCTGGGGTGTACAATCATGTTCCCTCTGCTGTTAAGAGTAAACTGACAAGTCTGGGAAGCTCTGAAGAAGTGGGCAGTCTAAAGGTGTTGCTAGATCAAGCTGCAGAGCAGGGCTGGGGTTGTGGCTCAGCGGTAGAGCACTTGCCTAGCACATGCGAGGCCCTGGGTTCGATCTTCAGCACCACATAAAAATAAATAAAGATATTGTGTTCAATTACAACTAAAAAAACCTATTAAAAAATAAATAAATAAAGATGCAGCCCAGTCCACAGAATAAGATGCCTGAGTTATCAAAATATTATATTTTACTCTTTTCTTTTTCAGAATTCCAGGTTATCGAGTTGGTTGTTATTATTGTCTTTTCCAACAAGGAAAACTGCTTCCTGAAACAGCAACAGTGGGCTCTGAATATAACCCTACAGAGTATGTGGTCTGTTTTTTAGGAGGTTCTGAAAAAGGCCTTGAGCTATATCCTTTCTTTGGTCTAAGGGAATCAGGAAGGAGAATGTGGGAAGGCAAGTGGAGGAGTTATCTACTACCCTCCCCAAGCTTCTCTGCCTTTATGTATGTGCTTGAATTTCATACTTCCTGTGGCCATTTGCCTTGGCTTGTTCTAATTTACAGTTTACATTATTTGAGCAATCTCACATTTCCTGTGTGAGATAAGACATTGTCTTGATTATTCATTCTTTATTACTTCCTTAAGAACATACTTTCAGGCTTGAACTGGACAAGTACATTCAAGGGCTAAAAAATAACATGAACTGTGAGGTAAGATGATAGATTTAAAATTTTGTAAGACTGAAATGATTAACCAACCACGACTTTTGTACTTGTCAAGTCATATAGGAAGATAGAAAGACACCTGAATTCTAAAAACTTGACCTTGTAGGCTAGTAGACTGGTGATTTTTAAGGAAAGGAGGGAACATAGTCCTATAATTGTTGAAAGTTTCACAAGACTGCTTGCGATGAATTACTCCTATGAAGACTTCTACCTGTTAAATTCAATAGCATGTCTGGAGAGGAAGAGGATACCCCTTTACTGATTTCTAAGCACATAAGATTTATATTCTGGTCAGAACTAATTGTCCGTGCAGCCTCTGGCACCAGAGACATGCTGCGCAATAGTATAGCTGTCTTTGGACTTAACATCAAAGATTTTTAGAAATACTGCATTTTTATTCATCAATCCTTTATGAATTAGATATCTCCAAATTGACTAATTTATCCAAACTTTTTTAAAAGCTATGCTTTCAACTTGGAGCAGTTGTTGAAGTTATGACTCAAAAATTTATCACCCATTATCCATAGCAATAGTTCCTTTTACTTGTCATGTACTTCTATGATACTGCAAGAGGAAAGGAAGGATCCGTTTAGGGGTGAGCCAGGGATTCAAGTCTGGGGATGTTGCTTTCCCAGACTGAAGCTTCTTCCTATGTGACACTAGTCTTCAGAAAGCAGCACAGCCGAAAGCCAGATGTGTTCATGATGGCATGTCTGACAACAAGTGGGCTTTGAGTGTTTTGATGGGTTGTTGTTTCTTCTTAACTTTTTCCTTTTTTTTTTTTTTTTTTTGATACTAAGGATTAAAACCAGGGCTGAACTTTTTGAGTACAAACGAATTATCTATTTACATTCCTTTAGTCAGTAGTCAATAAGTCTTGCTGTGCATGTTCTAGACACTATGCCAGGTGCTGAGGCAGTGAGGATTATTAAGAGAGAACTTCCAATGTAGTAGGGAGGGATAGCCATGTGAATGCCCAACTCTTCCCAGTGAGGAATAGCATAGAACTCTACTAATTCAAATTCCCAGGAAAGCTATATCACAATTCCTTTTTTTTAACTGGTGGTATTAGCTTTTAAAAAAAAGGAGGTGTCTGTTCCAGTTTTCACTGTCAAGAGTACAGTGAAGAAAATGTTTTGAGTCCACTAATAGGAAGGCTTATGCGGTATTAAAGCAAATAATTTCTCTCTTGATCTAGGAAGGGGGCCTGGAAAACCATACCAAGGCTTATCTGAACAGCTGGTTTGAGGATGTTGTTTGCCCAATCCAAAGGGTTGTTCTTCTTTTTCAGGAGAAACTTACTTTTCTGCTACATGCGGTATGTATTGCCCAAACAAGAGCATTTCCTTAATCAAGAATCACTTTGGCAGAGTTTTTATGATATGGGGAGTGAATACAGGGCCTTGTGCTTGCCAGGCAAGTGCTGCACCACTGAGCTACATCCCCAACCCTTTTTTTGTTTTTGTTTTTAAGATAGGGTCTCTAAGTCCAGGCCAGCCTTGAAGTTGCAATTCTCTTGCCTCAGACTCTCAAGTATCTGATATTACAAGTGTGCACCATCCTGGCTAGAGTTTGGGTTATCTGGAGACAAATCACTTTCTGTGAATATTTCTTTTTCCCCTGAATATTCATTTAAACTATGCTTGCTGTCAGGGTAGAGCACACCTAATTTATTCAGATCTAGAAGATTATATTACAAAGGTAAAACTGAATTGCAAATGCCTACTGAGTCTTCCTAATAGGATAAAACATTTTTAAATAATTACTTTTTGAACTGATCTAAGAGAGGTAATTTCCAAAACATTTTGAAAAGGAAAACAAAATTATAAAGTGATTTTAACTATACAAAAATATTAGCAAGGAGCTGCTAAACCAGCTGCTAAACCATCTCTCTCTGGAGAGCTTGTGGGCTATGCCCATCAGTCATTGTCTAGTAAAGTGGTTACTGGGAATGGTAACATTTAGTCATGAGTGGCTGCTCAATAAGGGAAACTGGAAGACATATCAATCAGGCTTTATTTTTCTCTCATAGGCTTTGAGTTATACTCCTGTTGAGGTTAAAGAATCAGATGAAAAAACAAAGAGAGACATTAACAGGTAAAGAACATAGTTTTTGCAGAGAGAATCTTTTCCACAGCAAGCCTGACTTATACGTTTTTAAACCCTCCCCCTTCCAGTGCAGAATGATTTAGTTTTCTCCCTCCCATAGTCCAATACTGTTTGTGAAAAAAGTCTGTGTGTTTGGCAGGTTTCTGAGTGTGGCCAGTCTTCAGGGACTAATTCATGAAGGCACCATGACATCTTTGTGCATGGCCATGACAGAAGAGCAGCATAAGTCTGTAGTCATCGATTGCAGTGGCTCCCAGCCTCAGTTCTCCAATGCAGGTGAGCCATAAACTCTGGACCTCTTTTGAGGTCCTCTTTTTGCATTGAGAATAAAGGATACAAACATCCTTCTTGCCTTGTATAATTTTTCATGGCTATCCCAAGCTTGCTGAAAACAATAGTAATTCTAGAAACATGGAAATTAAGTCATGCCTAGAAATTCCATTCTTAGATATACAGACAAACTCATATATGTGCACAAGAAGATGAATACAAAAATATTCATGAAAACATTATTTAAAATTATAAAAAATTGGAAATCAATGTGTACAGCAAGAATTTGATACACTGGTATTGCATGCTATGGGACATTATAGAGCAGTTGAAAATGAATGTACCAGAGATGACATATGTTAGTATAGCTCTCAAACATATTATTCAGTGAAAAACCACTAAAAAAATACATAAAGGACTGGGCATGGTGGCGCATGCCTGTAATCCCAGCAACTCATGAGGCTGAGGTAGGAGGATCATAAGTTCAAGACTGGCCTTAGCAAATTAGAGAGGGCTTGAGCAACTTAGCGAGACCGTGTTTCAAAAAATAAAAAGGGCTGGGGATGTGACTCAGTGGTCAAATGCCCATGGGTTCAGGTTCAATCCCTGGTACCAAAAAAAAAAAAAAAACATAAAGGTTTTTACATATGCAAAATAATAACTTAGAGATACAAAGGGATATAGCAAAAGTTTTAGAGAAATATATGGGAATCATAATCCTTTCTGATGGGAAAGAAGGGGCTATGATTGAAACACACTTGAAGGTGGGGGTGCTTCAGCCCTCTTCATATTTCTTAGCCATATGGGGAGCACACTAGTTTTTAGATCACTATAAAAGTCATTACAAATAAATATGATAAAAAATTTAATATTTGAAAAGTTCAGTATAAATGTTGTTATAAAGAAATAACTGTCTTGGGGCTATGGTTGTGGCTCAGTGGTAGAGCTCACCTAGCACGTGCAAGGCCCTGGGTTCGATCCTCAGCACCACATAAAAATAAAATAAAGATATTGTGTCCAACTACAACTAAAAGAAATTTAAAAAGGGGAAAAAAAAGAAATAACTGTCTTGTAGGATAGCATTTTTATTTATTTAATTTCTCTAAATATTTTGTAGGAAGCAACCGGTTTTGCGAGGATTGGATGCAGGCTTTCTTAAATGGTGCTGAAGGGGGTAACCCTTTTCTTTTCCGACAAGTACTGGAGAACTTTAAATTAAAGGTAATTAATTGACTGTGTGCCAAGGGCCACATACAGTTTTTTGTCTGCATTTTAATTAGTACCCGTGATAGAATAATAAATCTGTTTTGCAGTTGTGATGTCTATTAAACAAGATGTTCTTAAAACGAATCATCAGAAGGCTTTTAATTTTTCAGTAGCTTCTGCATACATATAATTTCATCACTTCCAATAAATTGGGTTGAAAGCTTGCTTTTATTTAAGGAAGCTTACTGATGTATTTTAGTTGCAAAGCACACACACACACAAAAGTGGTTCAAAATTCTGACGGGAGTGTTTTCACCTTATTTAGGAGATTTTTAAGTATTTTTACTTACATATGAGATTTTGCTCTGCCAAGGGTAAAGCATTTTAACAATAAAGATGATAGAAATGTTTAAGATGAAAAGCAAACAATCTAGAACATATATTGTGTTCTCAGCTGGATAGGAGATATTTTTCAAGCTTCATTATTATCCCACTACACACATATTTAACTAGGTAATCTTTTTCTAGGCCATACAAGACACAAACAATTTGAAGAGATTTATCCGACAGGCAGAAATGAATCATTATGCTTTGTTTAAATGTTACATGTTCCTAAAGAACTGTGGTAGTGGAGATATCCTTTTGAAGATTGTTAAAGTGGAACACGAAGAAATGCCTGAAGCCAAAAATGTGGTAGCTGTCCTTGAAGAATTCATGAAAGAAGCTCTTGCCCAAGGTTTTTGATCATGTTTGAGACAACTACTTCGTGAAGTTGTATATTCAAGCCTTGGCGTTTGAAATTGCAGTTGTTAATAATTGTTCATAGGATTACTGTTTAGGATTATTTGAATTATACCAGATTGTTTTTTCTTTTTGTATTTAAAAATTTTAACTTAATTAAACATAAAAATCTGAGGAATATCTTCATTGAGTCGTACATCGATATGTGTGTTAGAATTGTGGAATTTTGGTCTATTGTTGCTCCCATAAATTCTAAACTTCAAAAATGTGTTGCCTAAGTGGACATGGTGATGATGCACACCTGTAATCCCAGTGGCTGGGGAGTTTAAGGTAGAAGGATCACTAAGTTCAAAGCCAGCCTCAGTCACTTAGTGAGGGCCCTAAGCAACATAGCAAAACTGTCTCTAAATTAAATATAAAAATGGCTGGGGATATGGCACAATGGTTAAGCATCCCTGGGTTCAATCCCTGTTACCAAAAATAAATAAATAATAAAAAAGAAATGCGTTGCCTCAGAAACTTCAGAGATGATTTTGCGGCTTCTCTCAAAAGTTTGCTGCAGTATTTACAATTTTTCTTCTCAGAAAAAAACTCATAGCACTTTTTTTCTCAATAGATTATAGCTTCTTTTTTAAATACGTAATTCCAGTCACAGAAAGATTAGTACCACTACACCATTTCATAGATTTGTGCATCCTGCATCCTGCAGGTACCTGATACAGTTTTTTTTTTGGTCTGATTAATAGTTGGCTTGGATGATGAAGCCAGCTTTTAAGTCAATATGCAAACAAATCATAAGTATATAAGAAATTACATAAGCTTCAAAAATAGATGCACTAGCTGCAAGATAAAACGTTAGCTCTGATGGAAAGCGGCTGCAGAACTGGCGCCCACCCGTCACCACTTTTCTTCATTAATTTGTCCACAGATAGTTGCCAGTATTTTTTTCTTTTAGATGAAAATGCCAGAGTTTTTAAATAGTGTGAAGAAATAAAGTACATAAGTTTTACAAACAAACTGTAAGATAAGGAATGCAAACAGAGATTCTTCGTATCAGAGTTATTCATTGATTTTAGTTTTTGTATATTTATTACAAACCTCAGATTGTTTTACTCTGAATCAATTCACAGTGCCCTCGGCTAGCCATTTATAATTCCCATGGAAGCCAACGGTAGCTACACACATATTTGTTCTGCATAGCTCTTTAATAAATTCATTTGATAATGATTTTTGTTTAGAAGATCAGAAGTCTTATGTTCTCACAGCCTTCAGGACGTTCAGAGGAACACAAGCCTGTAAAACTGAGCAACTCATAAATGGCTGTAAATTCATGTTAAGTGCTGAGTTTTAACTTTCAAAATGACCGACAATGGCCTTCTGCTTTCTCCTCTACAGAAGTAAGTCTAGGAACATGACTCACCAAGCCCTTACTTTTTGTTTAACGAGAAATACAATTCAGGATCTTCATAAATGCTTTCATATGGTTTTAAAGTTTAATAACAGATTATAGGCAGTATGGAAAAAACTCTGAGCAGCATTTTTAAAAAAATATTTATTTTTTAGGTGTAGATGGACACAACACAATGCCTTTATTTTTATGTGGTGCTGAGGATCGAACCCCGGTCCCGCCCGTGCTAGGCAAATGCTCTACCACTGAGCCACAATCCCAGCCCCTAAGTAGCATTTTTTATAAAAGTATTCAGGATGACTATGGAAGATCTGCAATTTTATGACACTATCTTGGAATCTCTAGAATCTTTTTTTGTTTTGTTTTGTTTTCTATCTTTTTCTAATGCACTTGGTTGTCCATTTGGAAGTTAGGTTTTTAAATAAACAACATGTTGAGTCTGGAAAATATAGTTTTAATTTTCAAATTTATATGCCATTCAAGAGTCCATGTTGTAAATGGCTGTTAAAAGCAAATGCTTGGCACAGTGGTGCATGTTTTAATCCCAGCGACTTGGGGAGACTGAGGCAGGAGGATCACAAGTTCAAGGCCAGCCTGAGCAACTTAGCAAAACCATAGGGTCTCAAAGGGCTGAGGATTATATCCCAGTAGAAAAGTATCCCTGGATTCAATCCCTAGTACTACAACAGTAAAATAATGACAAAGCAAATGTATTACATGTTTCAACTTACTTACAGATATAGGCAAGGTATAACCATATCATCTGTTTGTATATATATACTCACTATATATTACAGTTGTAGACAGTAGTCATTTTTAAAAGTCTGACATTCTGTGTCACTATTATAGACAGAATGATGTTATGAAATTGGATACTGCGTTGATCATGAGAAGAAACTCAGAGCTCATGACAAGAAATGAGTATTTGTATCCAAATTTAAATAAGCTAATGTATTAATGTTTAAAGTTGTACAAAGTGCCAGGTGTGGTGGCACAAACCTGTAGTCCTGGCTACTGAGGCTGAAGGAGGGCGATTGCAATTTTGAGACTAGCCTGGGAAATTAGTGAGACCCTGTTTCAAAATTCAAAAATAAAAAGGGCTGGGATGTAGCTCAGTAGTAAAGTACTCCTGAGTTCAATCCACAGTACCCCCCCCCCCCAAAAAAAAGTAATAAAGTTGTAAAAAGTATTTGTTCAGACAGGAATAAATTTATGTATTATTTATGTGGTATACACACAGATAAAATGTATGTTTATCATGTACCCAAAATAGTCTGTTTATCTGTAATTATATTTGTAATATAACTTAGCTTCTAATCAAGATAGCCATTTTTACTTCATGAGCTCAATTCTCAGGCCTTACCCTTGAATTAATTCCCAGAAAGTTTGTGGGGAACTTGTTATGCTAAGAATGTGTTGGAGAAAATCAAATCACCTGCTGAGATACACCTTTCTGCATCCTGCCCCAGGAAGTGTAAGAGCAATTTTTATCACAATATTTTATTCACTGTCCAGTAAAGTTATATCTGTAGAATACAATAGCCCAAGTCATGTCCTCTCACTCTTATTATTTTTAAAATATATTTTTAGTTGTAGTTGGGACACGATACCTTTATTTATTTTTATACATTGCCGAGGATCGAACCCAGGGTCTTGAATGTGCTAGGCGAGAGTTCTACCGCCTAGCCACAATCGCAGCCCTCACTCTTACTATTAACTGTGACAATGCCTGTCCTTTACCAGAGGATCACTTATAGCAGATGCTAGGCAAGACTGCAGACTTCTCAGAAATGAGATTCAGTCTCTGGGACCAAGTTGTCCTAACCATGTGCCTTCTCATGGCTTCAATGCATTCTTCTACTTGGTGGTCTCAGAGGGCAGCTGCTTTCTCTAACTGGTGAAGTTCCTAACTGCCTCAGAGACTTTGAATCATGTGGACAGATTGCTGAGGTGGCATAAATGCCAAGATTCTGGAAATCAGGGTTATCGGAGAGCAGTAATGGATCGACAGCTGTGGGGTTTCTTGCGAGCTACTTCTGGGAGGGCTAACAAAGTGGAGGGCCTATTGAGTGAACTCCAAGCAAATGATCCAAGGTTCCTTATTGCTACTGAATGGCCATGGCCCTAATGCAATGAGGTTTGCCCTTTAAATAAATACCCTGACACGTCTACATGGTTAGTGTCTTTAAAGTCCCATAAAATATCTGAGGGCTGAGAGCATGGAACCAGACATCTTGGGTTACCTTCCCCTTGTGTACAACCACGGGGATGTTTTTATCCTCTTCACATAAAGTGGCTGTGATCTACTCCAGTGGCTAGCTCGTAGTAGGTGTTCAGTAAAATTGTTTTTGTTTTCTTCCTTTCAGTTCTGGGAATTGAACCCAGGGGCACTCAAACACTGAGTTACATCTCCCTTATTTTTTATTTTTGAGACAGGTTGCTTAGGGTCTTGCTAAGTTGCTGAGGCTGGCCTCAAATTTGCAGTCCTCCTGCTTCAGCCTCCCAAGCCACTGGAATTTCAGGCATGTGTCACCACACCTGGCAAAAATATTTTTTTATTGTTTTTATTTTTGTAGTGCTGGGGATTGAACCCTGGACTTTGCACATGCCAGGCAAGCATTTTACCACTGAGTCATATCTCTAGCACTGTTTTCATTTCTTAATTATCTCATTATTATTATACCTTGTTAAGTTATTGGAAAAGGGCTGGGGATGTGGCTCAGGCGGTGGCGCGCTTGCCTGGCATGCGTGCGGCCCGGGTTCCATCCTCAGCACCACATACAGACAAAGATGTGTGTCCGCCAAATACTAAAAAATAAATATTAAAAAAATTCTCTCTCTCTCTCTCCCTCTCTCTTTCTTTAAAAAAAAAAAAAAAAAGTTATTGGAAAAATGAGAATCTGATAGAAGGAAGGAACCAGAATAGTAAAAAGTGAAATGGAAGAAGGCCTAACCTCTTCAAGGAGCTTGCCTTGAAATGCCTCAAATACTGGAGCCTGGCATTGACCCAATGGAACACCTGTGCTCTGATAGGGTCTGATTTTCCTTCTAGGGAAGTCAGTTATCCACACTCCAGATAGAAGTGATTCCTTTGACTGTTAAGCCTGAACCACACTCTTTGTTCTGGGGTGGCTTCTGCAGCATTTAGAAATATTTTAAAATAATACACAGGAAACTGACCTGAAAGAATACTTGGGAGAGACAACCCTCTTGATGAATTTAACAGGACAGTTTAATCCTCAAACCAGAAGTTAACAGAATGACAACAGGACATACACTGGCCCCGATTTAGAGAAGTTAGTGGAAACTCCACTTTCTCAGGCCTCATCCACTCAAAGCCAGCTTGACAGTTTCTCTTCCTGACCTGACTCCACCCCTAACTGTCAAGCTCCTTCCCTTTCTGTCTGTGAACTCAGCTTACCCTCCTAACCCTGAGAACATCCCATTCCTCAAGGCTAGGATGCTGATGGCCCCAAGAAGGACCTGAAGACTAGTCTTCAAGATGAAGAAGGAATCCCGAGGACATTTCAAAGATTTCATGATGATGATTACAGTATGAATCTGTCCTAGGGATACATGAGTGGAAGGGAAGGCCGGGGGCACCCACCAGGACACTGGCTTAGAGGTTCCTGACCTGAAGCCAGGAGTGACTTTCCTCATCCACTGCCACCCACCTCAAAAATCATCCACAAAATCGTCTTTGTATATGCATTTGATGGGAAGAGCAATCAGGGCTTTCACCAACCACTGAAATGAGCTCAGCAATTCAGTAAAGTTGAAGAAAGAAACACTGGCACCAACCCCCCATGCTCCCTCCATGTTTATGAACTGCCAATCCCCCACCACTGTCCCTCACCGTCTCCCACCCACCCTGACCCAGGCCCAGACAAAAACAGGTTCCTGTACCAGCCCTCAGGACACATCCTGAATAACCAATGACTTAAAAAAAAAAAATCTTTAATGGAATCTGTGCTCAAATAATATGTTACAACAAAAATATACAGAATGTACACAATACAAAAATATTTAGAAACCAACATTGCAGTTTGGTTTTTTTTTTTTTTTTCCTCCCACTTACTCAAGTCCTGGGGCGGTGGGGGTGGGGGGCAGTTCACTGTTGGGCACTGTTTTTAAGGCAGAGGAGAATCGGCCAGTGCTTTGCGGCCAGCTTGGGAGCAACACCCATGATGCGGGAGAGGGATTCCCCGCATTGCATCTGCACTCTGGAGGAAAGTCCTGGTGTGGTGAGCAGTGGTTCCCCTAATGCTCTGGGCAATAATGGTTCTCATGGAAATTGAGAGTCCCATTAGCTGCCAAAAGAGCCTCATTAGGGAGTTTTTCCTAATTAAAAAAAACGAATGATGAATGGTGTCATTAAAGTGAAATCTCTCCTTTGAAGGCCTGTTTTCCCTTCCCCAGTTTGAGATTCCTCTCCAGTTTAAGGAGCCAGGCGCCTGTGGCCGCTGTCTGGGGATTCCCCAGCTCTCAATTTCTGTGCTCCAGGACAGACAGGCGGACCTACCTCCAGCAGCCTGAAGATGTACCCGTCATCTACTGCCCAGCGTCCTGGCTGGTAGCCATACAGGAGAGGAAGGTGGGACAAAGGGAAGAGGCCCGAGGCCAGTTGGGCAAGCGCTGCTGAGGGTTGGAGAGGGCACAGGAGCACGGCCCCTCCTGAGGAGAAGGCCAGAGCCCCAGAAATAAACCTGTCTGGATCTTGTGAAGTGACTCCACTGTCCCTGATCTGTGGCCCTGCTTGGGAGTGGTGGTTGGGAGAAGACGGTGGCAGGGAACAGCTGGTGCTGGTGGCCTGAGCTCTGGATGAGACTCCCTTCCAGAGCTCCAGGCCCTGAGGGTGGACTTAACAGGGTGAGAGGAGGGAGGGAGGAGACTGCCCTTTCCAGAAACAAGCTCTTAGCTGAAGCCCTGAAGGAGCTGGGAGCTTCTGAGGACTCACTAGAGTCTAGTTCCCTGCCTCTGAGCCACACCTGACAAGATGGAGCTCTGCTGGCTCCCCCCTCATCCCAGCAGCCCCAAGTGCCAGGACAGCAGGGCCCAGCTGCCTCTTCCCTCCAGAAAGGGACAGAAGCATTCAAGCTTAGCTGCTGCTGTAGCCCATGGACAGAGGCATGGGTCCTGGCCCCTCTTGATCCTTACTCAAGTCTTGGCCCAGGCTCCACAGCCTCGCACCCTCTCCTAAGCAGCAGACCCTTCCATCCACATCATCCCAGGGCAGCAAATGGCAGGCAGGACACAGAATAGATGTTCCAGGATGATGTGACTCAGCCCACGTGGCCTCAGGCTGACTGGCAGTCCTTGGCAGAATTGGCACTAGTGTGACCTTGAGGCCATACGTGGGGGACCAGGACAATGTAGTTAGTGCTGAGCAAAGATGGGGAAGGGCCTGGCATAGACTATGAGTGAGTGTGTCCTGGGGTAGAAAGACCTGCCCGTTTCCATACGGTCATTAGCTCAGGAAGCGACAGTGGCCAGGGACCCCCAGACACCTGCCTGGTTGACCCTGGACCTCACTGCACACAGGCTCTGATGGGCACAAGGCTGATGGAAGGCAGCCCCACACTCCTGCCCTTGACCCTGCAGCCCCTCTGCCTCCAGGCCTGGGGTTCTTTGTCCTTTCAGGAGAGTTAGACTTCCAAAAGCAGTATAAAGGGAAGGACAGATTTTGTGAAAGGTCACCCACCCAACACCCTTGGCTCAGGGCTGCAGTGGCTCCTCCAGCGCAGGCCTGAATGCTGCCCTCCCTTCCAGGAGGGGAGAGGCAGCTGGCTCCCTGCTGGGAGGCGGGGCTTCTGCTCTCACCTGTCCTGGCATCTGGGGCTGCCAGGTGGTGGGGGTGGGGTGAAGTCATTCCCCCAGCCTCATTGCCTATTTGTGAAGCAAGGGTGAGGGGTCTCCATAGTCCTCGGTTCCCCCCCAGCTCTCAGCAGCTGCACCCCCAGGCTGCTCTCGCCCTGGACACTCATCCAAGCCCCGAACAAGGCTCCTCTGGAGCGATGTTCCACCTAAACTAGAATGTCCTTCACTGCAGCCACCTGTCCCCCTATCTCAAATGGACACACAGCCTCAATAGTCCTGCCAGAGCCTTTCTTGCACCCCAAAAGATTCTCTTCTCAGGGAGACAGAACAAGACAGGACATTTTCGGATCGGAAAGCTATGCCAGAGGTAGAAAGGAGCAGAACTTGGATGCATTTCTTCTTAGCAATCCAAGGGCTGAGAGGGCCCAAGATCGCCCTAGAGCAGAGATAATTTTCCTGCAGGTCAATGATGCTCAGGGAATGTCTGGAAGGGACAGAAGATGGGAAACAAGGGAGGCAGGCTTTTCTAAAAACAAGGACACCCGGTAACCACACCACAGCACACCAGGGCTCCCTGTACCTCCTCTTAGACTCCCCACACACCCACCGCCTCACGTGACTTCCTCTCCAGGCTCCAGCTTGCCCCACATCATCTTTCCCTACACACACGGTCACTCACTCACACCTGGACACTGTCTCCATACCAAAAGGACAGGCACAAAATCGGGTCAGGGCAGTAGAAGGGAAAGAATAGACCCTAAAGTCAAGGCAGGTGCAGCTGCTGGGCGGCTGGTGTGTGAAGTCAGCATCCAGGATGAAAGGGAGGGAGAGGCTGAAAGTTGGTCCTGGGGCTTCCCCAGAAGGAACTTGGGCTGAGGTTTATTCCCCCCGCTTGGGGCTCTCTCACTATCCCCCAGGGCTAGAGTGGGATCTGGAGCTTACAGATCTCCCTGCCTTGTCCAGTATAGGCCCTAGAGGTCATGCCCCAGTAACCACTGGCTGGCCCAGGAGGGTACCCCCCCCCCCCAGTATCTCTCAGGTTAAAGCCAACACATCCACCACTGGGCCCTCTTTCCACCCCAGAACTCCAGACCTGGACTCCAGAGGGAACACTGTGCTGGGTGTGGTGGTGCACACCTGTAATCTCAGCAAACTGGGAGGCTGGGGCAGGAGGATTGTAAATCCAAGGCCAACCTCAACAACTTATGAGCAAGACCCTGCCTCAAAATAAAAAAATAAAAAGGGCTGGGGAAGTGGCTCAGTGGTAAAGTGCCCCTGGGTTCAATCCCCAGTACCAAAAAAAAAAAAAAAAAGTAAACAGAGGAAACACTACCTGGCCACAGAGACCTTCCGACCTTCCCTATGTCTCTCAGGGTCTCTCGGGGTGGAGGATGAGGGACCAAGCTTTTGCCCCTCCTGTGGCCAGGAAAGGACAGCACATGGAACCAGCCAGCCCACAGGGCAGCTTCTCACCCTACCCCAGGCCTTTACCCAGGCCTGATGTCACCAGAACAGGCTAGAAAAATGACAGCAGCCATATCCAACTCCTCCTCCAGTGCCTTTCAAAAAGAGGCCCCACCGTGTGCCCGTATCGAAACACAAACATCGCAGTACCAGCGGAGTCCTTGCCTTTCCTCTCTGGCTTCACTAAGCTGGTGATGAGAAAAAGATCCAGGTGCTCCCTCTGGATGCTGCTTCTCCCTCCCCTCCCCACCTCCTCCGTCCTCAGCCCCTTATGGGGGCGGTGGCAGCTTCAAGTCCAGCAGAGAATAGGCAAAGATGTTCCAGAAGACGGCGAACAGCACGAAGACGGTGTACATGGCCACAAAAATCCACCACAGCGACTGGTCCTGCAGCCTCTGCTCATAGTTCCTCAGAACTACCACGCCCAGGGTGATGCCCACGGCCACACCACCCAGGTGTGCCACGAAGCTCGGGTGAGGGCAGGGCGGGTAGGCCGACGGGTGGAAGCGGAGCCACACGGCCCGCCCGAACTCCAGACTCACTGCAGGAGGAGGAAGCACAGAGAAGTCACAGGAGGGCCCTGGGCGGGGGCTGCAGGGACAGAGGCCTCGCACCCCAGACCACCACCCTCTGATTAATGCATTTATGGCTGTGAGGCCGAGTACCATCTAGGGCACTGGGGACATGAGAATCAAGGAGACGGACAAAACCGTTCTCCCAGAGCTCATGGGGCCTGGTGATAAGCCAGCCAACAATTACACACGTAAGACAATTTCATTAAGAGATTCATCTATGGGGAAAAAATAGGTGACGTAAAGTCAATGCCGGGCATAAGGAGGGGACTCTTCAGGGAGTCTGGTAGGTCCTCCGGAGGCAATCTTTAATCTGTGATCTGAGTATTTAGAGGGGTCTTGCCCGAGGAGGGTGTTCCCGGGAGAGGGCAGGGGCTGACTGCAAGCCCAAAGGCCCTGGCAAAGCTGAGGTTGCACCAAGTCCTGGGGCCCGGATCCCAGTTTGTCCAACTGTAGGAAGTCTCAGCCTCGGTGCACCAGGCTGCACTGGTGGAGCCTGTTAGCAACTTCAATATGTGCCCAGCACATGCTGTGTTTTCATGCATTATCTCAAAACCCTCAGAAAACTCTCAGAACCACTGCTTTTGTGGTTAGGAGGAAGGGATGGAGAGGGACAAGGACAAAGAGGGAATGGAAGTAAGCGATCCTCACTCCACCCTCATCCCAGAGAATTTCTGGACTTTCTCCCTAAGACAATTCTAAGATACCACCATCTGCTCTCCGATCCTTCCTTCTTTTGTGAATTTTTTAGGTGGGCCAAATAGGGATGTCTTGAAGGGACAAGTATGAGGCAACCTCATTTCCCAACACCAAAGGAGCACAGAGAGCTCACTTTCCCACTTAACAGGTGAGGAAACCAAGGCAAACCTACAGACCGAAAGAAAGCCCTTTGAGGGGAAGGCTTGCAGTTGTTCCATTACCATTTAGTTAACCAGTGGGCCTCTCTACCCTAACCATTTTGGAGTGCCAGAACTGCCAGGGACCTGCATTCCCCTGAGGACTGCCCCACCTTCTGCACTGGCCCTGCAACTCCCAAGGTGGCCAATAGGTGGTGGAAAAAGAGCAGCTGGGGACTGAGGCTCAGCTCCCCCCACTCCACCCAGCCCCCAGGGAAGCCTTTCTGCCTCTGCTGAGCAGGTCCTGGGTTCAATACAGGAGCATTAAAACCAATGGTTCCCAACTCCAAAACAGCATTTTAGTTTTTATGACGCTTCTCCTTCCTTCTTTGAAAGCAAGTGAAGGGCAGAGTCTGGACAGACACAGCGGCAGAGTTCACCCATGCTCCCACCCCTGGTCCCCTGCTCAGAGTCAAGGGTTTTAAGGCTGAAAAGTTCTCTCTGGGATTAGAAATCCTCTAGTCTCATCCAGGAAACAGATCCAGAGGGCCCCTCTGTGGGTCAGGGACAGACGTGATTTCCTGAGAGCCATGGGGCCAGAGGCAAGGAATGTGGACATACATTAGAGGGGAGCCCTCACAGGCCTGGCCCTGCAGCAGGGAGCTGCCCCAGGCTGAGAAAGCCAGGCGCTCACCACTCAGCTTGGCTAAAGCATGGGCATTCGAAACGGCACAGGTTGGCTCTGAATTCTGGATTATCACCTCTTTGCTGGGCAACCCTGAGCCAGAAGCTTAACTCTCTGAGCTTTAAGTTCCTACTTCTGACTTGACTTAATGATAGGCTCTCTGAGGGCATCTTCTGAGGATGAAAGGAGAGAGCGTGTGTCTCCCTTCTCTCTTCCCGGACCTCCATTGCTTCTGTTCAGGCTCAGGACAAGCTCCTTACCTCTGGTCTCATCCCTCTCACACTACCCACCCTCCACATGGCATCCTGACTGGTTTTCTCAACCTCAAATCTATTTCTCCCTCTTATGGAGTCCTCCAGTGACCTCCCAGTACACTGGGGAGGAAGCCCATTTTTTTTTTTCCTCTTGCCTTTAAAAACATTCCAATCTGACTTCCAGGATCTCACTAGCTTTATCTCCGGTCACAGCCACACACAGTCCCATGCCTCCTTAGTGAGTTTTGACAGTCAGTGTGCCAGCCAATGACCTTCACACCCACCTGTGCTTCAGTTCACAGTGCACCTTTGCCCAACATGCCTCTGGCACCTCATCTCCCTGCTATATACCTGCTTGCCTTTAACACTCACAAGACCTCTGTAGGTAGAACTGACCTCTCCTGACTATAGCCTCCAGCACATCCTGCTCATAGGGGCTCACAGAGTAGTTAATAGCTTGTGAAACTGATAAAAATGCAAGTTTTAATGTGCATGTGTGTGTATGCACATATATGCACATGTATTCTGGGGAAGGGGTCTCTGACTTCCAATGGTGGATCTCAAACAACTCCATGATGCAAAAGGTCAAGAAGCTATTTCTCTTGATCTGGGTTCTGGTCACTGAGAACTTTTCTGTTTGCATATTTTATGTCCATAAAAAAGATGAGAAAAGGTGACGAAGCAGTGCAGAGGGACAGACCACCTCACTCCCCGCCCCCCACCTTGTTGGTCAGTACTAATGTGTCTCACTTTTTTTTCTTGATCACAAGCCTTTGCCCCTGAAAGGCAAGGACTGTGACATCTCTATCCCTAGGACCCAATGCCTGGTGTTCTCCCCAGCCCGCCCCCCATCAGTACTTACTACAGACCAAGGCCACAGCCATACGCAGCAGCTTGAACTGGCACTTCATGCCTGACCAGTTCTAGAGAAAAAGGAGAGAGATTTATTACTTGAAGATCAGGCTGCTCCTCTGCAGGTAGGGATGAAAAGCGGACATTTAAAGAAATCACCTCCATGAACTCCTGAGAGAGCTGGGCCTTCGTAGCAGAATACACCAGCAGGACTTTTGAGATTTTAGACGAAGGTAAGTTTATCCCTGTCATAAAAACTCTTTTTTTGGGGCTGGGGATGTGGCTCAAGCGGTAGCACACTCGCCTGGCATACGTGCGGCCCGGGTTCGATCCTCAGCACCACATACAAACAAAGATGTTGTGTCCGCCGAGAACTAAAAAATAAATATTAAAAAAATTCTCTCTCTCTCTCTCTTTAAAAAAAAAAAAAAAGGGGCTGGGGATGTGGCTCAAGCGGTAGCGCGCTCGCCTGGCATGCGTGCGGCCGGGGTTCGATCCTCAGCACCACAGACAAACAAAGATGTTGTGTCCGCCAAAAACTAAAAAAAAAAAGAAATAAATAAAAATTCTCTCTCTCTAAAAAAAAAAAAGAAAATTAAAAAAAAAAACTCTTTTTTTAAAAAACACCTTTTTTTAGTTGTTGATAGATCTTTTATTTTTTTATATGCGGTGCTGAGAATCAAACCGAGTGCCTCACACATGCCAGGCAAGTGCACTACTGCTGAGCCCCAGCCCCTGTCATAAAAACTCTTGAGGTCCACTAACAGAAGTAGAGAATCTACATCTCAGGAGACCAGAGCCCGTGTCCTCCTCCTCAGACATCACTGTGAAATAGCACCTGAGATAGCACTGTGTCTGCAGCTGACAAGGGATATGATGGAACATGACGTGGAATAGCACATCAAGCAAATCAAAGCAGAACCATCATCATCAAGATGATAAAAGAACTCAAAATCCTGCCTGTGAAGAACAAATGAGAAAACCAGGATCTTTCAGCTCAAAGACTCAGGGGTCAAGTTCACTGTTTTCAAGCATCAAGTGAGTCAACATGAGGAAAGGATGTATCCAGCACAAACTGCAAATAGGAGACTCCATAGATAAAAACTTCCCAGAGGCCAGGGTGGCACCCTTAATCCCAGCAGCTTGGGAGGCTGAGGCAGCAGGATCATGAGTTCAAAGTCAGCCTCAGCAATTCAGTGAGGCCCTAAGCAATTCAGCAAGATCCTGTAAAATATTTTTAAAAAGGGCTGGGGATGTGGCTCAGTGGTTAAGCACCCTGCGTTCAATCCTCAGTACCAAAAAAAACCCCAAACCAAAACAAACCAAACCAAAAAACCAACTTCCCAGAGATGCATCTTCTAGTGTAAGGTCAGTTTCACATCTGATAAGCAGAACTGTCCAAAGATGGAATGATCCAGCGCGGGGTGGGGGTAGTGAGTTTCCCATCACTGAAGGTTCCAAACAGGGACTTCATCACTCAGACAGAGCTGCTCCAGAGGAGAATCAGGCGTTGAGAAGGGGGCGGGCCAGATGGCCTCCAAACAAGTCTCTCTTTCCCCTGAGAATCTCAGAAAACTCTGAACCACCAAGGCAGATCAACAGTACAATTATTCACCTTACAAAAGGATTTTTCACTTTACAAAAGACTTCACCACGGGGTTCCTTTAAGGGGCACTCCTGCAGCGCAAAGCCTTATTCCATTTCTACAGATGTGAGCACACAGCCCAGAACCAGCCTGCGAGCTTCCTGGAACACAGCGGCCCAGGGAAGGAGGCAACTGGGCACGGCCAGGGGGACTTCTGTTCTCCCCCACCCACCCCATCTGCCCTGGCTGGCTGCCCCAGGGTCCCCTCCAGGGCACATCTCACACTCCTTGGAGGTTACAAGAACATCCCTTAGTTCAAATTCACGGAGACCCTGAACCCTGGCATGAACAATGCCGTCTATGACAGCGCCAGCAGAGCCAGCAGGACGTGGGGGAAGCTGCCAAGAACGGGGAGAAATCCTTGTCCCCTCCTCCCTGTTCCTCATTGTTCTTCACTGACCCACAAGCCCTGCCTTCACAAAAGATGGGCTGGGCCACATGTGGCCCCTCTTTAGGTGGAAAGTCTCAATTTGCTTGCAGACACGTTCTATGCTAAGAAGCAGATGGCAGGATAACACTGTCCCCTGCTGGTCTCTGCCCACAGAGGGACCTTGCCAAGAGACGGAACAAAATAGGAGTCGGGTGCCCCTGCTGCAGGGAGCAGCAAGCTGGGCCAGCTCAACTGGCTGGAGGTGGGGGGCCACCAGCTCCCCTCCAGGCCGAAGCCTTCAGAGGGAAGGAACTCGGCATCACGAGCCAGCCAGCCTTCTCTTCCCAAAGGGGACACCTGCGGTCAAGTAGCCAACAAGAAGGCTCTCAGCCCTGTGAAGGGAAGCTGGCTACTTCCTGAGGCAACCCTGGAAAGGGCTCTTATCACTGAAAAGTTCCTCCTCCTGTTGTTCTCTAGGCTCTGCCTCCCTGCTAGGCCACCTATGCATCTGTTTTGTTTTTTTTTTTGTTGTTGTTGTTGTTTTGTTTTTTAGAAAGGGCCTTACTCTGTTGCTTGGGCTGGCCTCAAGTGATTCACCTGCCTTTGACTCTTTTGTAGCTGGAACTACAGGATGTGCACCACTGTGCCCAGTTATCCATGGGTTTTTATTCTTCATTAAAAGTGAGACCCAGCCAGGCGCAGTGGTGCACACCTGTAATCCCAGCAGCTCGGGAGGCTGAGGTAGGAGGATCATGAATTCAATGCCAGCCTCAATAACTTAGTGAGGCCCTAAGCAACTTAGGAAGACCCTGTCTCAAGATACAAAATAAAAAGGGCTGGGGATGTGGCTTAGTGGTTAAGTGGCCCTGGGTTCAATCTCTGGTACCAAAAAAAAAAAAAAAAAATCAATAAGACCCATGTTCATAGCAGCAGTATTCACAACAGCCAAAAGGTGGAAGCCACCCAAGTGTCTAGAGATGGGTGATTGGATAAACAAAATATGTAGACACACATACAAACGTGGCATATTACTCAATCGTAAAAAAGGAATTCTGACACATGCTACAATGTGGATGGACCCTGATGCTATGATGAGTGAAATAAGCCAGTCACAAAAAACAACAACAACAACAAAAACACTGAACACTGCAGTGATTTCACTTGTGTGAAGTGCCTAGAGTGGTCAAATTCGTGGAGACAGGATGTAGAATGGTGGTTGTCGTGGGCTGGAGGAAGAGGATATGAGGAGGGAAGTGTCTAATGGGTACAGAGTTTCAGCTTGGGAAGATGAGGAAGCCCTGGAGACAGGATGGTGGCGGCGGCTGCATGACAATGTGAATGTCTTCGATGCCAGTGAGCAACATTCTGAAGTGTGGAGCTGGTAATAGGTGTATTCGCCACAGTACAAACAGAAGCCATACGGAACACTTCTGAGGTCCCTGTTCCTCATCAAAGTCTCTGAGTATCTTCTCTGAACACAGTGTGGCCTCTCTGGGCCCGATGTCGGATTAGTCTTAAAAAAACCATCCAAAACCCAGCCTCAGCAACAGCGAGGCACTAAGCAACTCAGGGAGACCCTGTCTCTACATAAAATACGAAATAGGGCTGGAAAAGCGGCTCAGTGGTTGAGTGCCCCTGAGTTCAATCTCTCATATGAAAAAAAAAAAAAAGCACCATCCATATTCCTAGTCTTGTATAGTCACTGGTGGGGTTGCTCAGAATTTCTTATTCTCTAGTGCCCTCATTTGTGAATTTCAGATAACAACAGCGCTCATGTCAATTACCTAGCTCATCAGGTGATTATAAGGATGAAATAAATGAATATGTGCAAAGCACTAATATCTGGCCATATAGTGGGTGTCCTATAAATGTCTGATATTAGTATTTAGATCTGGTGCAAAGACAATGAGTTTTCCTGTAGAGTGACAGTAAAGATTCACAATCCAAATGACCTTGGACACAGGGAGGGTGGAGGCTCCTGTTTGACCAGAGCATTCCCAAGCTAGCTTCCTGAGTTGACTATACCTGCCTGGCCCCCAGCCAGAGGTACTGGAGTCTGCCAAGCTGATTCAGTCCAACCCTCCGCCCAGCACTTTAGAGAAGAAGAACCTGAGGACCCAGGAGGGCTAGTTCAAGGTCATACTGAGTTTGCGGTGAGCTGCTAGGGTTCTGGGTGCAGGACTGCATCCACCACATGTCAGAGACAGGGTCACAGTCCATCTGCCTGTTCTGTCTGAGCCAGCTGCCCCCAGAGCTGAGTGAATGACAGTAAATGACCCGTCTCCTAGCAGCTGAGGGGTTAAATTAGAAAGTCAACCCTTCCCACCGGCTGCCTTATTTTCCCAACCCATTATTCCCTCCAATAAAACGAGTGCAGTGAAACACCAGGAGAGAAGAAAAAAATCTCTCCCACAGCCTGCACTGCTGCTGCTATAAATGTGGAAAAGCCCGTGGCCCCTGGGGAACACAAACCCTTTGCAGGCCCTTTAATTTCTTTCTTCCCCGAGCCTCACAGGGTGAGATAGGAACTCAGCCACAGCAAACAAGTCAGTAAACCAGTTGCTTTGACATCCCACTCAGCCAGCCAGTTGACAGCTCAGAGGCAGGGGCTGCCTGAGCAGCTCTGGGGTCCAGCCTTGCCAACGGGTATGAGGCCCTGGGTTCCATCCCCAGCACCACAAATTAAAAAACAAACAAACAAACAAAAAATATATATATATATATATATATATATATTTTTTTTTTTTTAATTTAAGAGCACAGAAATGGAAATCCAGTCAGGGAGCTTCCATTTAAATCAGCTTTATGTATCCTTGGTAGAAAGTTTCTTATCAAATGACTTAAAGAAATCCCCTGGGGCTGGGGTTGTGGCTCAGAGGTAAGGCCTTGTTGACCTAGCAGGTGTGAGGCACTGAGTTGGGTTCTCAGCACTGTATAAAAATAAATAAAATAAAGGGTTAGGGTTGTGATCATCTACAACTAAAAAAAAGAAGAAGAAATTCCAACACAGGAAACATATAAACATGTTACAGATAAAACTGGGAGTGATCATCAGCTCTACAAAAGGGTTTTTACTTTTAAACATAAACCTTAGAGCCAAAATCTTCTGTGTCTTCCAGATAAATATTTTTCCTTGTGCTTCCACCACATGGAACAATGTGCATAAATCCAGATCTCAACTGTGTTAGGAAAGCATCTAACATATAGAGCAAAGGGCAAGTAAATATCTTGTATATTTAAAAATGTATCTCTGGCCTATGGGCCACAGCAGGAGGCAATTAATAAATTATTCAGTTAGGCAGATCTTTATATTTCTAATGTTTAGCAGTCTTAATAGCGGGTGATTTTGCAACCCAGATCTTTTGTTGAAATATTTTCTGAATTTAATTATTTGATGTAAACTGCAAGGTTTTTGAAACTCAATGTGTTTTTAGGAAAAATAAAATGTAATTTCATTTAAGGCAGATTCTCTTATTTAAATGGTCCTGAGAACAGAAGTGCCAGACACTTTTCTAAGATGTATCTGAAGCCAAAAGAATAATTTTCTGATTGTTCTTTATATAAATAGCTGGCAGAATTAATAGAGAAATCACACACACACACACACACACACACACAGGATCTCATAGCCGCTGGGGATCTAGGGATTGAACCCAAGACTTTGTACTTGCTAGACAAGTGCTCTACCATTGAGCTTCATCCCCAGTCCTTTTTAATTTTAAGACAGAGTCTCTCTAAATTGCTGAGGCTAGCCTCAAACTTGTGATCCTTCTCCCTCAGCCTTCCGAGTAGATGGGATTACAGGTGGGTGGCACTGTACCCAGCTCTTTTCTTTCTTTTCTTTTTTTTTTTTTTTTTTGTAGCATTAGGAATCAAACCCAGGGCCTTGCACATGTTAGGCAAGCACTCTATCACGGAGCTACATGTCCAGCCCCTAAACCAGATTTTCTGTCAAATCCATATCTTTTTGTCTTCTGTTGTGATGAGGGACTTTATTGTGCACAGGCACAGATATTCCAAATTTTCATTTCAGAATTAAAAGCAAGAGTATATTTATTAAGTTGAACCATATGAAATTGCCAATGTTCAAAAGCTCCGGGGCCACAGAAATGGCAATTTCAAATGGGTTGACCCAATGCACCTCTGAACTGCTCAGTACTGAGCTAATTTGGGCAAAGAATGTCCCTTGACCAAGGGGAAAGTGACCTTTCTAGTGAGTAAATTAGTTTTTTCACCATGGACAAGCATCACATGACTTTCTAGAGAAGGCTCCCCACATGCCAGACTCAAGGGCCTACAAAGCTCCCAGGTGGCTGGGAAAGCTGCTTCCTTCTGGGAAGACACTGGGTTCTCAGATGGGACTGCTCATCTCCACAGCCACCAGCCTTGGGCTACTTGCCAGAAAGAAGCATAAACTGGAACAAAACTACTTTCACACCTCCCTGGACCCCTCGGCCTTGTCCTGTGGTCCAGGGGTGGGCAGTGCTCACCATGGGAACTGCTGAGGCACCAGGGCTGTTTCCCATGAGGCTTTCCAACTCCTCTTTGCTCCTTCTTTCCCATGTTCTCCAGTCCTGCCTGTTCAGCCCCCATGCGCAGCTATAGCCACATCTTGGGGGGAGTGGGAGGGAGGAGGTCAGTCCTCCCCCACGGAGAGGAATTGGGGCAGGGGGCGGGGGAGTGGAGGAGGCCGAATTCAGAGGAAGAGCTGTGTCTGGGGAAAGATGTGGCACTGATACAGAATGACCCATTTAAAAGGGCCATGTGAGGCAGCCCTGTGCTCTGGGGCTTTCTGCAGACTGAGCTGTGTGTGAACACACGTGCACCAACACACACTCTCCAGGCTCTCCCATTCACGCATGCTTCCCACACCCAGGGCCTCTCTCTGAGCACTCAGAGCACTCACAGGAAGTGGAAGTTGCCAGAATCCAGGCCAAGAGCAAGAGCAGTCCGGCTCCCTCCCTCTCCCTCTGCCTCCCCCCACCCTCTCCACTTACAAAGGAGACAGTGGTGGGAAAAGAAGGGGTGGTGTTGCAAGTAGGGAAGGTAAGAACAGGACAAATCAAGAAGAAAATGTGAATTTAAGAATGTCCCAAACTGCTATAACTGAGCAGTCACAGGATTGTCATACGGGGAGATGGTGATGAAGGACGAGGGGGGTGCCTGAGGGCCCCAGAGGGAGGCTAAGCCTTTTGGGGAGATGGTGATGAAGGACGAGGGGGGTGCCTGAGGGCCCCAGAGGGAGGCTAAGCCTTTTCTGGATACTATTCCTTCCTTCACCAAAAATTTAGCAGGTGCCGTCTAAAGCATGAGCCCAGCCCTGGGCCAGGTACAGGGGGTGGGAATAGATGTATAAGGCCTGCAGGTGTTGGGGCAGCAGGGCGTGGGGCAGGGCAGCCAAGCCCGGCCAGGGAGTCTCCCTTCCACCTCCAAACTCAGATGTCCTCCACACAGGGGCTTGGACAACCTCTATCAGGCTCTTCCCAATTTCTTGCCCTGCAGGTTGAGTCTAGTCTGAACCTCTTCCAGGAGGAATAGAGAGATTAGGTTAACATTTATTTTCAGTGATTATTCTTTTTTTTGTGTGTGTTTGTGTGTGTGTGGTGCTGGGGATTGAACCCAGGGTCTTGTGCACGCAAGGCAAGCACTCTACCCAACTGAGCTGTATCCCCAGCCTGATTATTCTTACTTTACCTCATTTATTATGTATCATTTCATTCCATGGACATAGAAATCAAGGCCCAAAGAGATTAAATAAGTTGCCCAAGGTCACCCTCTAGGAAGTGGGTCGCTGGGAGTCAGATCCAGGCTGTCTGACTCCAGAGCCCCTCCTCTTACCCATCACACGGCACTGCCCTTCAGGAAGAGGCAGAAGAGAGTGGGAACCGGAAGGGTGCTCCACCACATAAAGGGCTGGCACAGGGGAGCAACACTTGATTGGCTGTCAGGAGATGTGGCTTCAAGTCTTGGTTTTTGCAACCAATTTGGTTATGACTTTGGACAAATCACTTAACCTCTCAGAACCTCTTTTCCTATTTGATACTTTCGGAGAAATAATCTCTAAGGCCCTTTGACTTTTTAACGAACTTTTGACAAACAAGGCATTCCAAAGATCGTACACAGTAGTGGCCAAATTTTAACACTTTTTCTAAGTCACTGAATGGGAAAGAGTTGGGTACATTCATAGGCCAAGGCAAAGCTATGGAAAAAATATAAATGGGTATGGGAGGGACTCCACTGAGATGGGCCTTTGGAGGGGGAAGGGTGTTTGTGAACCCTGCTCCCATCCAGCTGGCACTTGACAGGTCTGGGCTGGGCCAGCTCCAGTGGATTAATGGCCAGGTCCAGTGGCAGCAGAGGAGAGGAAGGGAGACATGTGGGAACAGAAGGGTCTCACCATGACGATGTTTGCCAGATGGGCAGAGATGAGGGCATACACCCCTCCGGAAGAGCCCACTACCGGTGCGGTCATGTCAGCCACAGACACAGCCAAGGACCCTGGTTCAGAAAAAGAGAAGGAGTTCGTAAGAATGCTGGACTCGGTTGCCCACCCCAGCCCTGGCCCTCCGAGTCGGCTGCCTGGGCAGGAAGACCCTATAGCAAGAGGCTCCATGTCCTCTTCCTGATACTAGGTTGCCTTGGAGCCTCCTATGGATTTCCCAGAGGATTGGTTTATGGCCGAAAAGACCACTTGGTTCAGCCTATTCATTTTACAGATAGAAAACCAAGACTCCAAGAAGGGAGGTGACCTGCCCAAGATGGAACTTGGGTTACAACCCGTATCACCTGCCTCTCATCCTAGCCTCTGCCTAACACTGAGGTGGCATTGGGGTTGGGAACAGCAGTGAAACCAATAACAGCAGTTATCATGGAAACAGCTGCCCTGCAGTGAACACTGGGTCAGACCCTGAAGACCACCCTTTGATGCAGGTGCTAATGGCCTCGCTTTAGAGATGAGGAAAGGCTCTGAGCCCAGAGACCCCTGGTGGGAAGTGCTGGACCCAGGATTTGAGCCAGGTCTGCCTGATACAAAACCCAAAACCCATATTCCTCTTTCTTTCTTTCTTTCCTTCTTTTTGCAGTGTTGGGGATCCAACCCAGGGCTTCATGTCTACTAATCAAGCACTCCACCATCGACCTACAGTCCTAGCCCCAAACCTGTGGTCTTGACCAAAGCCGGTGCTCTTGGCAGCCACCCTCCAACCTGGTACAAGAGGCTGTCCCTGCCTTCCCCATGGCTCCTTCTAATGAGCTGCATCTAGAAACCTGCAGAGCTTCACCACCCACCTCTCTCCAGCTGAGCTAAATCACAAAAGGCCAACAGAATCTCCCAAGTAGGGCTTCTCTGGAGGAAAAAATGTCCTTGAAAAGTCCCCCAGGAAGAAAAAGAGATGATGTCACACTCTCTGGGGGAAAGGGAGGTCTACAGTTCTCTTGGTTTAGGGGATGACAAACTTTTGTCCTGGAGGAGGGAAGCTGGGCAGAGAGGAGATGGGAAATTTATTGTTCTGGTCTCATTTAAGTGTGATCAATGCTTTGGCTTCCAGGGAAGGACACAAGAGACTAAAAATAACTAGGAGGTAGAGTCCACGGCATAGAGGATGAGCTGTGGCTGGCCTGGGTGAGTGTGCAGAAATCACCACTGGAAAATGCCCGCAGGCTCATGAGCCAATTAGCCACCGGAGAGAGGGGGGCACTGGCAGAAAGCGGAATTCTGCAGGCTCTATAGGGTGAAGGATCCCTCTGGAAGAAAACTGGGCCTAGCCCAGGAACAAGGGCACCCAACCATCTGGACCTGGACACAGAGAGCTAGCTGCCTGACCTTGACATGGTCAGGTCACCTGCCTCTGTCCAGCCCTCTCAAGTCTCCTGCATTCACTGAGATCCTTCAGGGAAGGAAGGAATCCCCACTACCAATTCCTTGGTCTCAAGGGAGATGTCATCACTGGGGGGGGGGGAGGGGGACCAAACTGTCCTGAACTGAGGACTCCCAAGTTCTTCTCCCCTCCCAGGGCAACTATAAATCTTTCTTCCTGCCTTTCATGCCTTCCCTCCGGCTTTAATTAGGTATTGATCTATTGTCAGATAACTTTCTTTTCTTTTTCTTCTTCCTTGTCTTCTTTTTTTAATGGCCTTACTATGGGGTCAGCCATATATAACAAGAAGGAAGAAAGAAAAATCCCGGGGTGGCAAACAAACAGGCAGCAGGATCTGCATGACAAAGGATTCCCACGCTCTCTTCTGGAGCACCGTCTGAGAAGGCTGCATTGCAGGGCTGCACAGGGCTGGCTGCCCAAGCCGCTCCTCATTAATTACCATTTGGACAGAGGAAGCCCCAGCCTCCCTGGGCTGGCTCCTTTCCTCCCGCAGGTCCTAGCAAACCTGCTCTCTCCTCCCGCCCAGCCTGATCTACCAGGGGCCCAGAGGCAGGAGTCAGGGCAACTCCAGGCATGGGAGGGCGCTTGCCAGGGTCAAGCCTGCACAACGCTGACCTTTCCCTCACCCAACCCATGGTTTAGAGTGCTGACCCCAGAGCCAGGGGTCAATTTGGGATGGTGGCAGGAATATGGGATAGTGGTGCAGCTGGCTAGCTGTATGACCCTGGATTCTCTGGGCTTTAGTTTTCACATTTGCAAAATGTGAGGTCTAAGGCTTTCCAAATTGTAAGCAGTAAAATCCCCTTTTCCAAAGAAACCTTTCCAGGGGTCCCCTAACATATGGAGGGAACTGCTTAGACTGAATGGGGTGGGGACTGGATAGAAAAGCTTGCCACCCACTGGAGGGTCCTGGAGCATTCCTTCCAGAGAGGAAATTCAATGATCCCAGGTCTGTCCCAAGATCCAGGACCAAGGCTGAGATCATGGTTCTGGAACCTTGAAGGTAACTACCTAGCCCCACCTGCCCAGACCTTCCTAAGGCTCCTACAGATCAGCCAGGGATAGAGAGACTGGCATCAAACACAAACACAGGGATGTGTGCATATAAATAAAGTAATAAAGGCTACCAGGGGCAGGACATGAGGGCCAAGCAGGGTTCCTTCATAAGCACTGTGAACCTCATGGATGACATGCTCATAAGGCCAGTACAAATTCCAAGGAGGTTGTGGGGACAGAGGACTGGGAAAGAACTGCAAACTAGAGTGACATCCATTCTCTACACCGCAGCAGATTAAGGGGCAGGTTTTACTCAGGGTTACGTGTTTTCCAAAAAAACATTCTGGGTCCATGGTGACCTCACCATAAGGCACAGGTGCAGTAATTTAGGCTGGAAAGTTTTAAGGCAGGTGTTCTCCAGCATCTCCCTTGGCCATTAAAACAATCCAAGCAACAACTGGCAGAACATCTACCTTTAAGCAATGTAACTTTTTTTTTTTTTAACATATTTTTTTAATTGCCAATGGAGCTTTATTTTGTTTATTTATATGTGGCACTAAGAATGGAACCCAGTGCCTCACACATGCTAGGCAAGCACTCTACCACTGAGCTACGACCCCAGCCCCTAAGCCATGTAACTGTATTCATGTATTCTTCATTTACTTTACAAATATTTATTGCCTAACAGGTGCCAGGCTCTGGGGATGCACATGTGGCTTAAAATCCATATAATCTATAATAAAAGGTTGGTGATGTATCGAAAGTACTGGTTTTCAAAGTACTTAGACTGTCAGCTCCATAATTCTTAGCCATAAACAAGTGACATATTCACGTCAGATGTTGGCTAGAAGCACAGGGCTCCACCCCAGCTCTACTACTCCTAAGCTTGGCAAATAGAATAAGCCATTTAACCTCACTGACCTGCCGGTAGCATAGGGGTGACAACACAGGACTGTTGTGAATACAGGTGATGGCATACATAAACAACAGTCTGTATCACATGGCTGGAGCACCATCTGTACACCCCAGAAGTCAGCCTCCATGTTACAAAACAAGAGGGCCTTGGGTTTGGAATGCTTTCATTCAGCAGGAATTAGAGACATTAGGGAGGAGGGCTAGATTCCTATTTAAGGCCTCTTTTGATTTCTTTTTTTTTTTTTTTTTGTATCTGGGATTGAACTCAGAGGCACTCAATTACTGAGCCCCATCCTCAGCCCTATTTTGTATTTTATTTAGAGGCAGGGTCTCACTGAGTTGCTTAGTGCCTCAGCTTCCTAAACTGCTGGAATTACAGGCCTGAGCTACCGTGCGGGCTTGCCCTTGATTTCTGATAATAAATTACCTGCACAAAGGACAAGGCCTACCTTCTAGTTCTCTTCATACTGTGGTAGTGTTTAAAGGGTGTAAGCCCAGCTCTACCATGTGCAGTCTGTGTCTTCTTGGGGGTCACTTATCTATGCTTCTTCTTCATTTTTTTTTTTCCGGTGTTGGGGATTGAATCAAGGACCTTCCACATATTATTTTAAAACATTCTTTTCCCCCTTTCTTTTTTGCAGTACTGGGGAATCAAACTCAGGGCCTTGTGCATGCTAGGCAAGTGTTCTACCACTGAGCTATATCCTCAGCCTCTAGGGACTGCCCACACATTAAACACTTTAACCACTGAGCTGCACCCCTAGGAGTCTAAACTGAGGTTTCTATATGCACCAGGTGGAGAGTCCTGGTACCTGCCCTGTGTGGGTGGGTTGTGAGGATTAATTATAGCCTCACATGGGAGGCACTGATAACTACCGGCTATCCAGTTGAAGTCCAGCTATCTGCAAAAAGGTTCCCTCTTAGAGGAGGGGAATGGAGGCGGAAGAGGGGGACCAGCCCAGGCAGATCAATCAACTCAATCCTGGAGATCAATGACAAGCTATACGTGGCGACCAGAAAGCCCTTTGGTCTGGATCAATGACTCCGACAGAACACGGCGTGCCCTTGGCTGGTAGCTACAGCCCCACACCCTCACATTTACTTGATGAGCCCTGTGCTTCAGTCTGTGTAGCTTCCCACTCTGCAGTGACATCACTGGGAAGTGATTTCCGCACTGTCTCCTACCGTGTGTCATCTGTTTTGGGTGAGGTCTGAGTCATTTTGAATCTTATTTCTGTTTTCCAGGTTATTGGCATTCCCATGTAATTGACTGAGAACTGCAAGTGTTACGAGTGTCTTCCCTGTTCCTCTCCATTTAACATCTGGGACTCTGGGTATGGAAAAAGTGGTTATAAATCCCCAGATGTCAGGATGGGGGTTGTGGGTGGCTGAACAAGTCTAGAACATAGAGGTACTCATCGGCTCTTTTTTTTGGGGGGAGGGGTACTGGGATTGCACCCAGAGACTCCCTACCACTGAGCCACATCCCCCAGCCCTTTCTATTTTATATTTTGAGACAGGGTCTTGCTAAGTTGCCAAGGCTGTCCTTGAATTGCACCATGGCCTTTGTGAGAGATTTGGTAGCTGCTGGATTCTGGGAAGGGCAGTAGGTGCTGTCCAAGGTCGAAGGTTCTGGCCACCCACAGGAGAGATGGAGATGGGAGAATCTCCTAGGACCAGCCCCATGTGTGGGGGTTAGGACCCTTCCCTCTTCAATTTCTAAGACCACATCAGTCACCACCAAGGGTCCCTGCCTGCCGGTGGTTTACAAGGCTGAAGCTGCCCTACTCTCCTGATGGCGACTTTAATGCCACTCAGAAAGGATTAAGATCTTACTTAAACATACACACAAAGCTCCCCTGGGCACAGCTGTCAAGCTGAAGAGCTGAGGCGGCAAAACTTGTTTAAAAAAGAAAAGAAAAGAAAAGAAAAGAAAGCCAGCAATAAAGTTGGAAACTTCACAAGGGAGATCCCTGTGTTCAGAAACCAGATGGGTGAAACCGTTCCTAAAAAAAATCAGCTCTGGTCTCCCCAGTCTTTTGCCCCGTCCCTGCTCCCACAGGCAGAATAGGAAGAAGGCAGAGGCCTGACTCCTCCAGAGGGCCACTGCCTCAAAGGCCAGACTCTTCTGTCTGCAGTGGGTCAGTCAAGGGGTCTGTGGCTGGTACAGGAAGAGGTAAGACCTCCCTTTGGGTTCAAGTGCTACCTTGGCCAGGCAGGTGCCGCCTCTACCCACACCTCCGATGCCCTCTCAGTGATCTGGCTGCACCCTTGCAGATTATGCAGCACCCTTATTCCATTTGTTGCCTCACTCCAGCCCCTCAGGGACCCTACAGGCAGATCTCATTAGTTCCCTCTTCAAACTTAACAGGACCAAGAGAGGTTCAGGAATTTCCCAGAGCTCCCGTGGCTCCCACATGGCAGGGCAGAAACTGAAAGCCAGTCAGCCAGTTCCAAATCCTGCCCTCTCCCCTTTACCCTGACACACCTCCCGCTCCAGGTGGCTGTCCCCTTCCAGCCTCTGGGAAATAGAAGGGTCTGCCTCTGAGACAGGAGCTTTGGTGATGAGGAGCCTGTGTGCGCTCTGGAAGCCTGGGGCTGATCACACCCATCAGACCACGGCCCACCCTCCCTCAGCCCACCTGGTGAGGCTTACCCCTTGGACGCGGGGCCCACAGGCCTACCTGCCACGACACCGGCCACGTACACAAGCCCAATGCGGGTCGCTCCGTGCACCATCTCCAGAGGCACCCCCACCAGCAGCTGCAGCACCACGTTGAGTGCCAGGTGTTCTACCCTGTGACAGACCACATCCATTCATTCATTCATTCAACACGGTGTGCCCAGATGCTGGGGATCCAGGAGGGAAGAACACTGTCTCTACCTTTGAGGAGCTCATGATCTGGGAGGAGGAATGACAATGCAGACAGACCATCTTGGAAAGAGTAGCCCTTCCAGTGGACAGAAGCACATGGACAAGGTGGTGACTGGCAGTATCTGCACCTGCCACCATGAGAGGGACTAACCACATCTAGCAGCTCCATGGGTCCATGCATAAGCCACAGCTCAGAGAAGGCAGTAACTGCCTTAGACGGCTAGTTAGTGGCTAGGTCTCCAATCTACCTGACTGCTCCCCTTCATTCACCAGGCCCTGTGGTCACTCTGGCTTTCTCTCGTATTTGTGTGTGTGTAGTACTGAGATTGAACACAGGGCCCCTCACATGCTTACTAAGCGCTCTGCCACTGAGCCACATCCTCAGTCCTTCTCTATTATATTTTTAAAATTTTATTTATTTATTCGTTCTAACTTGTTATACACGAGAACTACTGATATTGAAAGAGAAAGATGGTCTCAAAATAAGTGCAAGTATTAAAGAGATCTCCTGTAATTTAGTAATTTAAATCTTTCCTTTGAAGTCTCATAGGGGAGCTGGGATTGGTGTCACCCACCTGTAATCTCAGCTACTTGGGAAGCTAAGGCAGGAAGATCTCAAGTTCAAGGCCAGCCTAGGCAACACAGCAAGACCCTGTCTCAAAAGTTAAAAAATCGAGGGCTGGGAATGTGGCTCAAGCGGTAGCGTGCTCGCCTGGCATGCATGCAGCCCAGGTTCGATCCTCAGCACCACATACAAACAAAGATGTTGTGTCCGCTGAAAGCTAAAAAATAAATATTAAAAAATTCTCTCTCTCTCTCTCACTCTCTCTTCAAAAAAAAAAAAGTTACTTAAAAAAAAATTTAAAAATCGAGTTGGGTGTGGTATTATACACCTGTAATTCCATCAACCCGGGAAACTGAGGCAGGAGGATCATGAGTTAGTTCAAAGGCAGTCTTAGCAACTTAGCAAGGCACCAAGCAACTCAGTGAGACCCTGACTTTAAAATACAAAAAGGACTGGGGATGTGGTTCAGTGGTTGAGTGCCCCCAAGTTCAATCCCTGGTACCCTCCCCCCAAAAAATAAAATAAAATAAAATATTGAGCCAGGCACGGTGACATATGCCCATAATCCCAGCAACTTGTAAGACTGAGGCAGAGCTGTGAGTTCGAAGCCAGTCTCACCAACATAGCGAGGCCCTGAGCAACTTAGGGAGACCCTGTCTCAAAATTTAAAAAAAGGGCTCAGGATGTGGCTCAGTGGTTAAGCGTCCCAGGTTCAGTTCTGGTACCTAAATGAATAAATAAATAGTGCTGGGAATGAAGCTTAGTGGCAGAACACCCCAGGGTTCAATCTCCACTATAGGCAAAAACAAACAAACCCCAGAGAAGAAAATGACCTGTGGAGGAGGTTTCTTCCTCGTGTAAAAAGGGACCTTCCACTCTGACATTCTCCAGGGAGTTTTATCTTTTGAGGGGAGAGAGACCCCAAGCTTCCTTACTCTGTGAATACCTTTCATTGCACACTCCTACTCATCTGGGGCCAGATCATGTCGCCAAAAGCATAGGGTGTCTAGCCAAGTCCATGTATTACCAGAAAAGATCGTAACATTACTATTATTAAATCAATTCGAGGCTTTCAAGTTTACAAAGCATTTTAACATCCATTATCTCATTTAAACTGAGCCTACAGCACATGGACAGCTCCCCAGGGACGGTTCCAGTTATGGTGTAACAGTCCATAACAAGGAGGCTGGGCCCTGGCCCTGGTCACAGCCCTTCTCCTGGTCTGCAGAGCCCTGCCTGGGCTACATGGAGGACACACATGGGCACCTGGTTATTCAGGAGGGCACTATGGACTGGGCTAGCAAAGATTCTGTGAAGATGAGAAATACCAGGAAAACTTACTGGAAAGAGGCTGGTGACAGGGTCACAGTCACTAAGCTGAGAGATTTTCTGGGGCCCTCATTTCACAGTCTAAGAACTTGAGACTAGAAGAGGCCAGGTAAGGAAAACCCGGGGCTCCTACTCTTTCTTCTCCACATGATGACTTTTGGATTCCTAGGCTCACAGGGTCTCTCAGTAATAGGTCACCTTGCTGGGACCTCCCTAAGTACTGACCAGCTGTTCCTATCTCTTGTCTACTATACCCACACCAAGAGCCCTTTCCTCAAAACCCACAGACTTGGAGAATCCCCTCACAGGCTCTCCCTGGCAGGCAAGGCCTCCTGAGAAGCAACTGTTGGCAAAAGGCCCAAGGCCACCCTGGGCGCCCCAGTGGAGGACATCTGTGCCCTGTCTGCCGTAGGACACTGCTCTTAGCATCAGGAGGCAAAGAAAAGGGGAGAGGTGGCTTTGGAGGCATTGGCTTTTCTTCTCCCTCATTCTGTGGGGCCAGGAAAGGTCAGAGGGCAGCCCTGAAAATAAAGCTTGTCGTCAGTCCCACCCCACGTGCAGCCACAGGCTTGGGGAGCCCAAGCAGGAAAACCCCAGTTTCTGTGGTCTCTGGAGCTTGATTCATGAGAAGCTGAAGCATGATACCCCCTCCCTCTGCTCCTCAGCCCCGTGCAGGGCAGGACTGGCAGGGGAACAGCCTCAACCAATGATCCTTCTTGTCTGAGAATGGTGACATGCCTCAGCAATTACACTGAGGTATTCCTCACCCTAGAGCAACCTCTCCAGCAGGGGCAGCAGCTAGGGGTGGGCTCTTGTTCCTGCTATGGAGGGATGTAGGGCTTGGGGGATCTTTCCATTTCCCCCCTAACTCAGGCATCCCTAGGCATTTTCCCAGCTAGGAGTGAGCTCCTTCACTACATGGGAGGGGCTGCAGGAGACCCCACCAAGGCTGGTGCCCGGGGTCTCTGTTTTCCCAACTTGGGGCTTCTACCCTAAGAACATTCTCTGGCCAAGATTGCTGCTGTTCTGGCATTTGGACCTGGGTGGTCACCTGAACTGCTCGTGAGTCCTTATCCTATGGTAAGAAGTGCCAGTGAGAGGGGCTGGGGCTGGGGCTCAGTGCCACCACGCTTACCTAGCATTGGGTGGTGCTGGGTTCCATCCTCAGCACCACATAAAAAATGAATAAATAGCCGGGCGCGGTGGCACACACCAATGATCCCAGCGGCTCTGGAGGCCAAGGCAGAAGGATCACGAGTTCAAAGCCAGCCTCAGAAATGGCAAGGTGCTAAGCAACTCAGTGAGATCCTGTCTCTAAATAAAATACAAAATAGGGCTGGGGGTGTGGCTCAGTGGTTCAGTGCCCCTGAGTTCAATTCCCAGTACCTAAAAAGAAAAAAAAAATAGAATGAATAAATAAAATAAAGGTATTTAAAAAAATGCCAATGAAGGCTGGGGTTGTAGCTCAGTGATAGAGCGCTTGCCTAGCACGTGTGAGGCACTGGGTTTGATCCTCAGCACCACATAAAAATAAATAAAATAGGGCTGGGGATGTGGCTCAAGCGGTAGCGCGCTCGCCTGGCATGCCTAAGGCCCGGGTTCAATCCTCAGCACCACATACAAACAAAGATGTTGTGTCCGCGAAAAACTAAAAAATAAATATTAAAAAAAAATTCTCTCTCTCTCTTTAAAAAAAAAAGAAAAACTAATTTAAAAAAAATTTAAAAATAAATAAATAAGTAAAATAAAGGTATTGTGTCCAACTACAACTAAAAAATACATATTTTTTTTAAAAGTGCCAACGAGAGGGGCTGGGGATGTGGCTCAAGCAGTAGCGCGCTCGCCTGGCATGCCTAAGGCCTGGGTTCGATCCTCAGCACCACATACAAACAAAGATGTTGTGTCTGCTGAAAACTAAAATAAATAAATAATTTTTAAAAAAGTGCCAATGAGAAATGATTGCACTATAGCCCCAAAAGAGGCCATGGGGCTCTGTTAACAGAAATTATGAATATTTCCAAAGTTCCTCACCACACATGGAGACCACTTTGGGAAGAAGGTGATTCTAATAAATTATTCCTTTATTTCACTAATGGGGACACTAACACATACATGAGCCTGGCAGCTGATCCCATGTCCCTTCTTGCTTTGGCTACCAGGAGCCCAGGACAAACTTTCAACCTACCTCTAGCAAACACACAGACTAGTGTGCTATGCGAGTCTGTGCTAATCTCTCCTCTGGCTTTTTAGCGTTCCCCTGTTTTCCCTTTCCCACACTCTCTCAATAACTGACCTGTGCATTTTGGTATCAGATAAGCTTCAAGCAGCCATCTCAAATCCTGCATCCAAGTGGATAAAAATAAACTAAAAAATCAATTTCAGGGCCTCAGGGGATGTAGCTCAGTGGTAGAGCACTTGCCTAGCCTGTTCAAAGTCCTGGGTTCGATCCCCAGTACTGCCAAATTGTGTGTGTGTGTGTGTGTGTGTGTGTGTACAATTTTCAACCCCAGTGTTTGGACCACTATTTCCCTTTAGGGAAAATAGGAAGACAGGAGCTCACCCTGCATGCATGAAGATGTATGTCAGGTAGCGCCAAGCCTGTGCTCGGAGCCGGGGGTGGTAGACCAGGGAGTTCTTCAGGTAACGAGGATGGGTCACCTGCAGCACAAATTGATTCAGCGATACTCCATTGTAGATGAAGAAGGCAACCTGGATGAAGCACAGAATAGAAAGGACCTGTCACTAGGAATGGGACTGCCCAGGACCCATCTGTGTGCTGATGGACACTGGGAACCACGCCAGGGGTTCCTTCCTCAGAGAAGGAAAGACACCTCACAGCCAGCACCCCGCTCAATGGCCAACCAGGCCTCAACCTACTTCTGGTTGATCTTTTTGTGTTCAATGCTCCTAACATAGTCACATGGTGTCTTTGTCCACAATTCCTACACAGGCAGATTTGGAGGATTTTAACTGTAATTCTAGTAATCATTCACTCACCCATTCCATGTAGTATTGTAGGGACTGGGGATGCAGCTCAGTGGTAGAGTGCTTGCCCAGGACCACCAAAAAAAAAAAAAAATTGTAGTGAAATCTACATATAATCTACCATCTATTTACCATCTTAACCAGTTTTTCAGTGCTCAGTTTGGTAGCATTAAGTACATTCACATGTGCTACTGTCACCACCACCCATCCACAGAACTCCTTTCATCTTGCAAACCTGAAACTCTACAACCACTAAACACCAATTCCCCATTCCCCTCACTCCAGCCTTGGACAACCACCATTCCACTTTCTGTCTCCATGAGCGTGACTACCCTAACTGTCTCATATATATAGAATAGAATCACAAGTCCTTCTCCTTCTGGCATGGGCTTATTTGACTGAGCATGATGTTTTCAAGTTCACCCATGTTGTGACACGTGTCAGAATGTCCTTCCTCTTAAAGGCTAAATAATACTCCATTGTATGGATCTACCACATTCTGTTCATCCATTCATCTATCCATGGATGCCTGGGAGGCCTCCACATTTGAGCTGTTGTGCATACTGTTCTATGGCCATGGGTATACAAATACCTCTTCTTTTCCCTGCTTTCGATTCATTTGGTATACACTCAGAAGTGGAATTGCTGCATCATGTTTAATTTTTCAAATAAATACCAGAGTATTTTCCACAGTGGCTGCACTATTTTACACTGCTACCATCAGTGCACAAGGGTTCTAGTTTCTCCACATCTTCACCAACTGTCTTTGTAAGTTGATTCTGCACATGACAAAAATGTACTTATTTAAGCCCTAAAAGGGTATTTATTTTGACTTATTTTTTTTTTCCTGAAACTCTTTTTAAAATGTACCATTTGTGTCCCTGTGTTCTTAGACCATATGAATACCATTTTAAGGATGTTTCAGGTTCTGATCTGGGCTGAGACAGTGACCTCTTCCCCAGCCATCAAAGGAGATGGTGTTTTCACTCCTATACTAAATGGTCCCAAATTCTTTAAGACTTGGGTCTGCTTTTTATTTCTTAAATATTTATTTATTTTATTTTATTTATTGTAGGGGGAGGTACTGGGGTTTGAACTCAGGGGCACTCAACCACTGAGCCACATCCCCAGCCCTATTTTGTATTTTATTTAGAGACAGGGTCTCACTGAGTTGCCTAACAGCTTGGTTTTGCTGAGGCTGGCTTTGAACTTGTGATCCTCCTGCCTCAGCCTCCTGAGACACTAGGATTATGGGTTTGCGCCACCGCACCTGGCTTTATTTATTTATTTATCTATTTGGTACTGAGGATTGAACCCAGTGGGGATTAACCACTGAACCACATCCCTAGCCCTTTTTTTTTATTTTTCATTTTGAGACAGGGTCTGAGTTGCCTAAGTCCTCACTAAGTTGCTGAGGCTCACTTTGAACTCAAAATCCTCCTGCCTCAGCCTCCTGAGGCACTGGGATTACAGGCATGCACACCACACTGGCTCAGGTCTAGTTTTCAATTTCCTTCTCTTCTGTTGTTTCTCTCACTGCCAGATTGCCAGCTGTTAACTTCTTACTGCTTGCTAGCATTGGGCCCCTATGTAGTAGCACACCACCCCCCTCTGTGTTCTATTTTCTACCTGTTATGGAATTAGAGAATCAGGTTACTAGAACTGTATGTAAAACAAAAGGCTTCGGCTTTCCCATGAAGGGCTCTGAGACAGTTTATTTCAGCTGTTTGAGCATTTTCCGGTTTCTTCTGAATTAGCAGTTCAAGTTCACGTAGCTGAGATGTCTGGAAATCTGAGCCAATTTTGGATACATCTGACCCCTCTGGACCAACTTGGGCAAATTATCTGAATTCTCTAGTCTTGGTTTCCTTATCTGGATATGGGTACCTAGATTTCCAGCATGGTCATGAAGTTTAAAAGTGATAAAGTACTGGTAATCCCAGTGATTGAGGAGGCTGAGGCAGGAGGATCACCAGGTTTGAGGTCAGCCTCAGCAATTTAATAAAGCCCTATGTAACTGAGCAAGACCCTGTCTTAAACTAGATAATAAAAAGGTCTGGGGACATAGCTCAGTGGTAAAGCACCCCTGGGTTCAATCCCCAGTACCCAAAATAAAAGTAATAAAGCACACAAGGAACCAGCCTCGTGCCTGGCACACACTCAGAGAAGGAAGCTATAATTAGTGTCAGGTTAAGACCTGCTGGGCTCAGCCTGGGCATGGCTTAGGCGCTGGCAGCTGTGTTCCTCGGGGCTCTCTGAGAAGCTGTTCCGTCCACCTCACACCATGCGGGTGGCCTGGCAGCAAATACAGCTTCCAAGGCATCTCATTATTATTGGTCCTCAAATAGCAGTTAATAAATAGACCAATACAGTCAGCGCTGGAAGAACGAGTCCAAGAATATCTCAGGGAAAAAAAAAAAAAAAAAAAAAAACCCTGCAACTTCAATATGTACTTGGAGGAAGCCGTAACAACAAACAGGAGCTCTGAACCACAGAGCAGACTGATTGACCAAAAAGATGAAGAAAGATGCCACGGAGCTGAGCCATCCTGCCATCTGATGAGGCAGGCACTCTGCAAGGACAGACGCAGAGGTGATGACCGGGCCCAAGGCTTCGGGAAAGGAACAGCGCGGCGAGATCATGCAATATCAAAGGGAAGTCAAGCACTCATCAGGAACTGGAGGTGGGCGGGGCTTAGTAGTGCCAGGGTTGAACAGCCATGAGAGCTGAGCTCCGTGGTGCACAAAGTATCTCCCAACTCTGTTGCCTAAGCAGATTTTTTTTTTGCATAACAATAGGTATGGCTGATTCTCTTAGGGGAGAATGTTCTTTAAAAATATGTTTAGCCCACGTTTACTTGTTCACAAATACTCCTTCCCAGAGGTATTTGTGTGATGCTTTTGTGTTCAGAAAACACCCCAGTCCTTCTTTCACTTGAAAGAGGCATCCTTCCTACAGGCGGGCGGGCGGGTGTGGTTACTCCCGCTTTACAGGTGGGACATGGAGTCCCAGGGGAGCCAATGACTGGTCCACCTTGCCCATCGGGGAGGAACTAAAATAAATGGACTGGACTGAGTTTGCCTGGCTGACTCAGGGGCCTCAGGGGAAACCCCCACACTGGTGTCCCTGCAACCATGTACCAAATCAATGAACTAATCGCACGGTTTCTGTTGCCCGTTGTTTTGGCAGGGGTGGCCATCTGGGGACTTGGCTACAGCAAAAATTACTTGAAGGGCTGTGGTTGTGGCTCAGTGGTAGAGCACTTGCCTGGCATGTGGGAAGCACAGGGTTCGATTCTCAGCACTGCATATAAATAAATAAATTAAATAAAGGTTCAACGACAATTAAACATTTTTTTTTTTAAATGGCTTGAAGTGATAACCTTTGGAACATCTTTGTAGTCTACCTTCATCCTTCGCTGGAGAGGTGTGACTCCTCCCCTTCATGATCTCTGAATCCTCTTGGCTCCTCTCCTCTCATCCCCACCTCCCCTGCTCTCCCAAGGCTGGGCAGCCCCTTCCCCACCCTTGTCCTTGCCTCCAGCAGTGTGACTGTGATCATGAACCAGGGTGGGGGGCAGCAGGTGTAGCTGTCGTAGTACCACTTGCGGTCAATCTCCCGCGGTAGGGTCTCATAGGCCACGTGGCGGATCAGCCGCTGTGAGAGGCTCAGCCCCTTCTCGTCCAGCAGGGCCTTGCTGCTGAGCCTGCGGTTGCCCTGCAAAATGGCCTGGCGGAAGCTGTTGGAACGCTTGTTGCCCATCTGTGCAGGAAACAGGGTGGGGAGAGGGTCAGAGCTGGGACCTCAGGGAACCCCCCCGCCCAACGGTATCCCTGTAACCATGTACCTTAAACCAGGCCCAACTCCACATTTCATTTTCTTTTTATAAGAGTCGATTAGGGCCGGGCACATGTCTGTAATCCATGCAACTCAGGAGGCTGAGGCAGGAGATCACAAGTTCAAAGCCAGCCTCAGCAACTTAGCAAGGCCCTAAGCAACTTAGCAAAATTTGTCTTAAAAGAAAATAAAAAAAGAGCTGGGGATGTGGCTCAGTGGTTAAGCAGCGCCCCTGGGTTCAATTCCTGGTACCAAAAAAAAAAAAAAAAAGAGTTGATTAGGGGGCTGTGGTTGTGGCTCAGTGGTAGAGCGCTTGCCTAGCATGTGTGAGGTACTGGGTTCAATTCTCAGCACCACATATGAAGCAACACTCACTGGCCTCTGATTATGTTTGGGGGGCTATTCTAAGCACTTTACATGTTTTGGCCCATTTGATACAACTGTGAGATGAGGACTAGGAACACTCCTGCTCTACCAGATAGAAAACTAAGGCACAGAGTGTTTCAGGAACCCACCAAGTTCAAATCCAGAGCCTGTACCTGATTTCACTTTTACCTTCTTTCCATTCACTCCTTCATCATCCATCTATCACAATTTGCTGAGCAATTACTAAGTGCCAGGCACATTGCCAGACCCAGGGGCAAAGGGTGGGTACAATGGTGCTCAGGACAAAGAAGTCACCAGCAAGACAGCTGCCATGAGAGCACACAAGAGGGAGCCCAACTTGTCCTGAGGTGGTCAGCCTGGGCTTCCCTGCAAAGGTGACATCCGCTGAGAAAGAAAGAATAAGTAGGAAGCAGAGTCCTCAGACACAGCAGAAAGGAAGGGACAAGCAGCCCTATCTGCTATCTGCAGTGCCCATGGAGCCCAGGGTGGGGGTGGAGCCCAGACAGAGGCCAGGCCCTATCCTCAGCAGCCCAGACACATCCCCCATAGAGTTCTGGCTGCCTCGCGCAGAGGTCATCCTGACTCGCAGAGACCAGAGGTGGCCTTGCCGACTTCCAGCCTCCAGAAGCCTCTGCAGCCTCTCCCCTACACTCCAGGGACACACTCTAGACCCTTCCCATGGGGAGAAACCCTACGGACACAGCTCTTCCATCCCCAGAACCCAACTAGTGAGGGGATTAGCAATGTATTCCTGGGGCCATGGGCCAGCAGCGGACATCGGGCTGGGCCTAAAGGAAGGAGCTGGGCAGAGCTGCCAAGGAGAACCAGGTCGGAGCAAGGCACAGGGATTGGAGCCTTTGTCAGAGGAGGACAGCTGGGAGGATCTTGGTTCAGACCAGGCCAGGTGGTGGGAGTCTCCTCTGCAGAGCCCCCTTCTCACTCCTGAGCCCTCTGTCTCTCGCCTCCAGTGTCTGGCTTCCAGCCTCCGCTCTGCAGCAGGCCATGACAGCTGAACCCCTCCAGCTAGTCCAATTCCTGTCCCCTCCAAGCCTACCAAGCTGGGATGGGCTGCTTCTCGGAGGCTCGGAGGCTTGGGAGTTCCAGGTATGCAGGCATGCACAGCATGTGCGTGTACACACACACACACATACACACTGGCAGCCAATGGCCAAGGGATGGCCGGGAGGAGGGAGAAGCTCAGGACAAGCCCAGGAGAAGCAGGATCCGTAGGCACTTACCACGCAGCTGTGTCCGCCTCACGTCTAAAGCTGTGCTGGGCACAGTCATTACCAGAGTCTCAGGCCTCCCGGAGTTTACGAGGGAGGGAAGGGTGAATGGCAGCAGAAGACGGGGTGCTCTTAGTTACTGGGTGCATGTTAGCATGGCCACATCATGAAAATGGGGACTGAAGCTTAGGGTGAGAAATTGAACTGATCCATAGTACATCAAAATCAGGATTCAAATCCAGACCTGCCTGACTCCAGGGGCAGAGTAGCCTACATGAAGCTTTTATGCCAATTAAAGAAGCCTCTTTCTCCAGGCCTTAGTGAGGAAAGTTCAGACCAAGATTTCAGTCCCCCATTCATTCCTCAGGCAGGCATCCTGTGTAGTCCACAACCTGCACACCCCTACACGACACTCCAGTCTGCTCAGCTGCATGCAATGTGTTCTGTGTCATGAGAGGGGCCTGGGAAACTCGCTATTGAAGCTCTGGATAAGGCTGATTCATTCTGCTTAGGTTGGGACTGGTGGAGGCTCACAAAAGATACAAAGCAGACTACGTGGAGGAAGAGTATTAAGATACGACAAAAACTTCCAAATGTAGTCCTTTATCATACTTGATCCTTGCAATAACCCTGAATCTTTGGGTTTATTGTACAAATGGGAAAACGGAGGCCAGGGAATCTTTCCCAGTGAGTGGCAAAGGTGGAGTGAGAACCAGGGCCCACATCTGCCTCCCTCCAGGATGCAAGTTCTTTGCCCTCCCCAGAGGGTCCCCCTGGTGAGACCCTGGAGACAGGGCAGCACCACCCACATGACTCCAGGCTATGGTTGGCTGCTCCAGCTCAGAACTTCAACACAGAAATCTTAACAGTAACAAGTTACTTGCTGTGAGCTCACACAGAGGCCTCTGGGATGGAGAAGCTTCTCTCTGGCTCAGCAAGCCCTCACTCTGCCCTGAAACTGGGCAGTTGTCTTTTTTTTTTTTTTTTCTTTTTTTTGTTACTGGGGATTGATCCCAGGGGCACTTTACCACTCTTGTAGCAGTTGTCACATCCCCAGCCCTTTTTATTTATCATTATTATTTTGAGACAGGGCCTTACTAAGTTGCTGAGCTGGACTTGATCATGGAGATCCTCCTGCCTCAGCCTCCACAAAAGGGAGGTACTCCTGTGGGACTGGGCAGGTATCTTGTGGCAGCACACATGCTGGCACTGGGGCTGTGCAGGCTCAATCCCATGGCACAGTCTTTGGTGACAATGCTGGGCTCCAAGTCACAGGACTCACCTCTGTTGTCCACCCCATAAGTCCTGAGTATCCCCACATTCCCGGCTCCGGCTCAGTTCTACCCCAGGCTTTCCAGGAGCTCTGCTCCCTGGGTTTCTCTGAACAGCAGGAGATTCCTCTCTGCCTACAAGGCCTCTGTGCAGCTCCCTGTGGCAGCTGTTAAACGCACTGGCCCCAGGGACATGGCCAGCGGCTCGGCCAGGAGGCTGTGAGAGCAACCACTGGGTACCCACATCACAGAGGTCTCCGTGGCGTGATGGCAGGTGTGATGGCAGGTGTGGGGTACGGGTGCCCCACATGATACCTTGGAGCTCCAGGGGCCTGGGGAACTTCATGGGAGTCACCCCACCCCTGCCCCCTCCACAGCTGGGAAACCAAAGACTAGTCTTGTACTCATCTCACGAGTTCGCGCGGCTTCTCCTGATGTCCCGTTCACCCAGTGGTGGGCAAAAAGCTGCCTGCTTAACCCCACTGACCCCCATTCCAACCCACCACAGTAACCCCCAAGTAGCACAGCATTTACCCTCAGTAAGGAGGAAGTCTCTGCTCCAAGATGCCCGACCATAGGGCTGGACGTATGAGACGTCCATCTCTTTCCCCTTGGCATCTGCCGGCCGGGCCAAGTTGCTCAGCTGCTACCTTCCAGGGAGGTCTGGTCTGACCTCCTAAGCATCTACTCCTTAGCTTCTTCTCCTGCCAGCAATAACCACCCAACTCCTAGACTTCATTTTGGCAGAAGTGACCCCACTCCTAGCTCTAGGGACAGACACTGATTGGTTTGAGTCAATCGATACATTCTACTGACCCAATCTAGGTCAGTGGAAGGGAGGAAACCCAGGACTTGTGCATGAGCTACCACAAGAAGAGACTGTAAGGTATGGCCTGGGGGTTATGTATGTAAGGGCTGGAACAGCTGCAGCTACTTCGCTGTCACAATGGGAGGTTCTAGAACGGACAGGAGCTGCTTTGAGGAGGAGCTGCTATTGCAGAAACCAGAACCAAAAGCCAGAGACCTATCTACCTGGTCCCTAATGGTACCCTTTTGTTTGCTGAAGCCTGGGCTTTTTAAAAATACTGTGAGTCAACAGATCCCCTTGTCTGAATCTCTTTCATGTATCTAAGTCACAATCCCCAAACAGGCCCTGCCCAGTGGTGAGGGCCCCAGAGCACTCACCAGGTTGACAAAATCCTGGTAGCAGATCTGCCCGTCCGCATGGCTGTCGGCAAGGGCCAGGAGTACCTCCCTTTTGTGCGGGTCCAGCTTGGAGCTGTGGCTCTCGAGAAGGCTCCGGAACTTGCCTGTGCTGATGTAGCCTGTGTTCCCGGGGTCAAACTAGGGGAGAAGCATACAGCAGAGGGCTCAGCAGGACACCACCCCCTCCTGGGACTCACGTGGGGACCCAGATTCCCACAACTACTCACAGGCTCCTGTCACCAGCCCTCTGCCAGTGGAGGCCCAGGTGGTGTCCAGGATGTCCCTACGGCCCCCTTCAGGATCACCCAATCCAAGTCTCTCAGAGGACAAGGAAACTGGACTCCCCTCAGCCCAGCAGATGTTGGTGGAAGGCAGGAATGAAACGGCATTGAGTAGAGAAGAGAAGGAGCCGCTGGGCCTAGGGCAGGGAGGAGGGTGGGAGGAGGTGTCCCAGGGAAGATCTTCCTGGGGACAGGTGCAGGGTGGGGGGGCACAGGAAGCACAGCCTGGCAAGCCCTTCCGCACCTTGCTGCCAGCCTCTCCCAGGACCCACTCACACACCCACACCCGCAGGACTGGCACCCCCCTTCCAGAGGCGCTGGGCTCTGTAGTTTTTGCCTACAAACTACAGTGTGTTTAACATCAATCTCTTTTATCCTCTGCTGCTTTGCACACCTGGGTCCCTCCATCTAGGATTCCTGCCCTCCCTCATCTCCCTGGGAGGCTCAGACTCTCTTCCCAACTATTCCCATATCCTCTTCTCTGGAAGGCTCTCCTGGGGCACAGCCCGTCCTGGCTGCTCCCCTACACTCTGGACAGGCTCTGGGCCTCCCTCCGGCTCACACTGCTCTCTGACCACCTTCACCTCCTAGCCGGCCTGAGAATTCCCTGAAGGCTGGCATCACGACTTGTCCCAGGTACTTAGCACACAGAGCCTGTGCTTCGGGCACTCAATCAAGATTTGCCGGATGAACAGGCGGGGGATGTTCAAATGAACAGACAGGCGCTAATTTTCCAGGAAACACCTCTCGTGGATTCATTTAGAAAAAGCAGGATCATATTCATCTGTCCCAGAGACGCTCTTAACCTGTCTGCCCTTCCTTGCCCACACAGCCCACTGGATGCCAATCCCCACATGCTCCCTGCTAAGAAATGACACTCCACACTACTCCGTGTCTGTCATCTCTCCTGGGTGCCGAGGGTATTCCTGTTTGCAGAGGGCTTCTCCATAGGTCTCTGGGGGCATCCCTGAAGATGCTGCTGTGGGTTGCTTAGGCTTTAAAAGGCAATGGAGGGGGCGCTGGGGCTATAGCTCAGTTGGTAGAGTGCTTGCCTCACATGCACAAGGCCTTGGGTTCCATCCCCAGCACCACACACACACACAGAAAAGGCAATAGAGGGGCTGAGCTGTAGCTCAGTGGTGGGGAGCTTGCCTACCATTCACAAGACCCTGGTAGGCAAGCCCCAATACTACAAAAAAAAATTAAAAATAAAAATAATAAAAGGCAACAGACATTGGGGATATATGTGTGTACAGGACAAGGGAACCTAAGAAGGCCAGAGCCACATTTCCCACGTCTCTGGATGAGGTGAAGGAAAGTGACTTTGGGGAAGCAGATTCTTTGTGCTGTATTTCTAGACAATCCAGAGCAACGGTCAGGAGTCATGGTCAGGAACCTCGTAAAAGGCGGGGGCTCCAGAATTCTCACACTCCTACCTTAAACAGAGATATTTAAAGCAGAAAAGAGCCCCCAGACAGCAACAGTTCTGGCCTCCTTATCGCTCAGAGGCAGAAAGTGAGCCTAGAGAAGGAACATGGCAATGGGTGCCAGCAACCCCTTCTATCCCTGGAAGCCACCTGTGCTAACTCCAATTATCATGGGAAAGCACTCACCTGCCTCACCTGGTCCCATATGGGCCTCAATGCGGGAGGGCAGATGGGTGGCAGGGGTGGGGTACAGGTCCTGGGAGACCCCCAGTGGACACTGTAGGGCACAGTGGTCTGCCACACGGTGTGAAGCCTCTCTGGCCCGCAGCCGGGGAGGAAGCCCAATGGTTTTGCATCTTCTGGGAGCAGGGACACCAATCCCCTCCCAGGGGCCTCCTGGAAGGCCTGGGAGGGCTCTGGGGTAGGGGGCTGGGATCAGCACCAGACAAAGAGCCACCTGCTCTCCTCCTCAGCCTCCCCCTCCAGGGCTCCCTGCTGTTGTCCTAGTGACAGGGGCTGCCCTGTAGCTCCTCCACCCCCAGCCCCCACCCCGGCCTGCCCACCCTGCCCCAAGCACATTACAGGCTCCACGCTGCGGAGAATGAGCTGGAATCGGGCCGAGCCTCCATTCTCTGCCAAAACTCCACCTTTCATGCCAGGGCCAGACAGGCCAGACAATGGGGGGTCACTGCTACCCTGATACTGAAGCCTCAGGGATTCCAGACACTGACTGAGGGGGAGGGAGAGGCAGGGATGGGGCCAGCTCCTGAGCTCCCCAGATGCACACAGGATATCTCTCAACCACATCCAACACCTGGGCAGATGAGGGCAAGGGCAGAGACGGGCAGGGGACATGGGGTCAGAGACAGAGCGAAGATGACAAAGAGAGTGAACCAGGGGGAGAGTGCATGCCCAGAAGGCAGGAGAGAGGTAGGTCCAGCACCCCAGAAGGAAGCTTCTAAAGGAGCCTGTGCCCCTGCTGGGGGGCAGCAAGGGACATGGCAAAATCCTATTTTTGTCTTGGCCACTAGTGAGGGTTGGTATAACTCAGGGTAAACAGCTGGCACCTCGGCTGCCCCATCTGTGACTGAGCTGAAGCAAACAGGGCTCAGCTTGCCAGGGTCCGGGGGCTGTGACACCAGCTTCACCTGCCTCATTCAAACAAGGGGACACCTCTCTGCCAGGAGGTGCGGCAGACCCTCTCTGGGCACGTCGCACCCGCTGGCCTCCTTCAGGCCTCTAAAGTGGGGGAGATCATACTAGCAGCATGGTTCTGAGCTTTCGGGAAACTAGTCCTGTAAACTTTAATAATGTGCCGAGGCTCCTGAGACGCCCCCTCCCTCGAGTACTCTGTGCCCCGGATTTACCCGCGTTGGCAGTGGGGCACTCTGGGGATGAGGTTGGGGCTGGGTGGGTTCAAGGCAGCCTGGTGGTGTGGTCTGGGCAGCTGGAGGAACATGGACTGTGAATGGCACGGGGGCCTCCTGAATAGGGCCTGAGATGGGTGAGGGGGCAAGTCCACATTCAACCGGAATGAAGGATGGAAGAGGCAAAGGGAGGAGAAAGGAAGGAGGCAAGAAGCTGGCCCTCCCACACCCCCCACCCACCTGCCTCGGCCTTGAAAAGACCTTCCCTTCCACAGGATTTTTAATCCCACCAGTGCCAAGCCCTCAGGCCCCTAATCCCCTAGGTCACTAGCTCTCCCCAGACTGAGGCCAGCCACACACACACACACACACACACACACACACACAACTCTCAGTCATCTCCCTTCTCCTACCCTGAGCCCCTTCCTGGGGCACTTAGCCCACCTAGGCTGGACAAATGGTCTACCCAGTTTTCTCTGTATTGCTGCCATCTGGGTTTACTTCCCCTCTTTGGGACCAGGGGTGGGAGGAGAGTCCCCGGAAGAAGACCCCACCCCAGCTGCTGTGCCGTTTTGGGCAGTTCATTCTGCCACACTGCCTCAGTGTCTCCATCAATCAAGTGGCAGGAGCTCTCCCTTCTCCAGGAAATGTAAAGGGTCCATATCTATCCCCGTGCATGTGAGATGCACACCATCAGTGATGGAAGACAGGGAAAGAGTCACAGCCCATACTGCACAGGGGGGCAGTGGATCCATTCTGAATCCTATCGCAGTCAAGGGGCCAAGGGCAGGTTTGGGACCAGGATGAGGTGGCTCTACATGGCGGGTGGGATCATTTAGGGTCCTAGTGATACTGGAGAGAGGGACAACAGGTTAGGGACTCATAAATCATGGTTCAAAGACCTGGAAGGAACCTTGGTGATTTTCAAACTGCACTGCAAAGTTCTTAGAGGCTGTGGGGCTTCTGATGCACACAAGCAGCACGGAGGGGGACTGCTGAGCAGCCACCAGCTTCCTCAGGCCAAGCAGCTCTGCCTTGAGCCTGTGTATATACTGGCCTTCTACCTACTACCCACCCCAAGGACAACACAGTAAGAACTAAAATATTTGGAATGTTTGCTCCGCATCAGGTACCTGAGCTACCTCACTGAAATCTTAGGCCACTATCCATCTCGATTTACCTGGGATTGACATGGTTTATACCTATTCTCTCAGCATGATTATTAACAGTGTCTGGGGCTGGGGATGTTGCTCAGTTGGTAGAGTGCTTGCCTTGCATGCACAAGGCCCTGGGTTTAATCCCCAGCATAAAAAAAAAAAAAAAAAAAAAAAAAACAAACAACCAGTGTCCCCTTTCAAAGTGCCCCAACTAGGCTGATAAATTGTTTGGGGTGGGAGGGAGGATGAAGGCACCAAGCACTGAGTTGCTGAAGTTTGCACAGATGGTAACTGGTACAGATAAACTCATAACAGACAGAAGGGCTCAAAGCCTGCTCTCTCTTCCATTAGTAGGATTTAGTGACTAAAAAGAGTTTGAAAGACTCTAGTTCCATCCTCTCATGTGTTCATCTAACACCTATTTACTAAGGATCAACTGTGGGCCAGGTACCGTTCATTCTATGGGAGGACTGGGAAAGAGTTACAGGGAAACAGGTGCTGCCGGGAGCCAAGGGAGTGAAAGAAACTACTCAAAGAGAGTTTCATCAGCAGTCAAGATGGACATGATCTGAGGTTCCTCCATTGGGTTTGCTGCCCCCCATCCCCACCCCCCGCTTTCCCTTGGTTTTCTGCATCGTGTTCAGCTTTATGAAATAGAGTCCTTGATGCAGGATTTTCCCAGTGTGTGTTTTGTGGAACTCCAGTCCAAGACAGTACACGAGAAAAGGATTCTGTGGTCCTATAGTTTGGGAAACCCTCTTAGAAGGAAATGATGGGCAGAAGGCTGCATAGTGAAGAGGGCTCTACAAGGAAAAGTGGAGAAATCTGTCTGATTCTGTTCAGCTGGCATTTACCAACCGACTTTGACCTTAGATCACAGTGTTTTTTCATAGTGACACTGCGTGA